TGCCTTCCTCGTATAGTTTTAAAAATTTGGCATACATTTCATTTACTTCCCTGCCTAGCAACAATTCTGTCCAATTACACTCATTAAAAAAATTTCGAAGTTCCCCATAGTTGCCTCTCTTTAAATCGAGTTTATCAACTGTTTCAATGTCCCCATTTTCTTCTAGATGATATCTTAAAGCATATTTAATGTCTAACAGGACGTGATCACTCTTTCCCAAGGGAGGAAGGTACTGGATGTCAAAAATCTCTTCTTCTTTCCTGGTGAATACTAGATCCAGTACTGACGGTATATCTCCTTCCCTCATTCTTGTGGCTTGCTTTATGTGTTGATACAAGAATGTCTCCAGAATGAGGTTCACAAATCTGCATGTCCAAAAGTCCTCCGTTCTTGCTTCATAGGCCTCCCAGTCTATTGCTCTAAAGTTGAAGTCCCCCAGTATCAACAGTCGTGATTTATCTTTATCTGCTTGTACAATAATATCTCTCATGACCATTATGAGGCCCTCTCGTTTGTCATCCAGTTCTTCCTTTGTCCACGTGTTGCTTGCTGGTGGGCTGTAGGTATTTACAATTATCAGGTTATCATCCTGATTCCAGACCTGCAATGCCATTATGTCAATATCTCGAGGGTTTTCAAATATTAACTCTTTTACCTTCAGGTGTTTTTTCACCAGTACAGCCACTCCTCCTCCCTTCCTAGTTTTCCTGTCACGTCTCCAAACTGAGTAGCCTCTTGGGAATATGACTTCATTTATTATATTTCCTTCAAGTTTCGTTTCTGATAATGCAACAATATCTGGGACCCTAAGCTGGATTATATCTTGCAACTCCAAAGTTTTTGACCTCACTCCATCTATGTTGGTATATACAATTTTCAGGAACATGTTCCCTTTTCCTTTGCTCTTTACTCCCCCTTCCACTACTGATCTTGTTGCTTTGTTTTTGTGTGTGTGTGTGTGTGTGTGTGTGTGTGTGTGTGTGTGTGTGTGTGTGTGTGTGTGTGTGTGTGTGTGTGTGTGTGTGTGTGTGTGTGTAATTACCTAAGTGTAGTTACAGGATGAGAGCTACGCTCGTGGTGTCCCGTCTTCCCAGCACTCTTTGTCATATAACGCTTTGAAACTACTGACGGTCTTGGCCTCCACCACCTTCTCACTTAACTTGTTCCAACCGTCTACCACTCTATTTGCGAAGGTGAATTTTCTTATATTTCTTCGGCATCTGTGTTTAGCTAGTTTAAATCTATGACCTCTTGTTCTTGAAATTCCAGGTCTCAGGAAGTCTTCCCTGTCGATTTTATCAATTCCTGTAACTATTTTGTATGTAGTGATCATATCACCTCTTTTTCTTCTGTCTTCTAGTTTTGGCATATTTAATGCTTCTAACCTCTCCTCGTAGCTCTTGCCCTTCAGTTCTGGGAGCCACTTAGTAGCATGTCTTTGCACCTTTTCCAGTTTGTTGATGTGCTTCTTAAGATATGGGCACCACACAACAGCTGCATATTCTAGCTTTGGCCTAACAAAAGTCATGAACAATTTCTTTAGTATATCGCCATCCATGTATTTAAATGCAATTCTGAAGTTAGAAAGCATAGCATAGGCTCCTTGCACAATATTCTTTATGTGGTCCTCAGGTGATAGTTTTCTATCTAGAACCACCCCTAGATCTTTTTCTTTATCAGAATTCTTTAAAGATTTCTCACATAATATATAGGTTGTGTGGGGTCTATGTTCTCCTATTCCACATTCCATAACATGACATTTATTAACATTAAATTCCATTTGCCAAGTGGTGCTCCATATACTTATTTTGTCCAGGTCTTCTTGAAGGGCATGACAGTCATCTAAATTTCTTATCCTTCCTATTATCTTAGCATCATCAGCAAACATGTTCATATAATTCTGTATACCAACTGGTAGATCATTTATGTACACAATAAACATCACTGGTGCAAGAACTGAACCCTGTGGTACTCCACTTGTGACATTTCTCCATTCCGATACATTGCCTCTGATTACTGCCCTCATTTTTCTATCAGTCAGAAAATTTTTCATCCATGATAGAAGCTTACCTGTCACCCCTCCAATATTTTCCAGTTTCCAGAACAACCTCTTATGTGGAACTCTGTCGAAAGCCTTTTTAGGTCCAGATAGATGCAGTCAACCCAGCCATCTCTTTCCTGTAATATCTCTGTGGCCCGATCATAGAAACTGAGTAAATTCGATACACAGGATCTTCCTGATCGAAAACCATACTGTCTGTCTGATATTATATCATTTCTCTCCAGGTGTTCTACCCATTTAGTTTTGATTAGCTTTTCCAATACTTTCACTATTACACTTGTCAATGATACAGTGTGTGTCAATGTGTGTGTGTATGTGTGTGTGTATGTGTGTGTGTGTGTGTATGTGTGTATGTATGTGTGTGTGTATGTATGTATGTATGTATGTATGTATGTATATATGTATGTATGTATGTATGTATGTATGTATGTATGTATGTATGTATGTATGTATGTGAATATGTACATGCATATATATATATTTATTTATTTATTTATTTATTTATTTAAAATCTGAAAAATTTATATGCAATCATAGCAATCACTGTAACGTAGCAGATAATTGACTAAAATTGTACGTTTTGTGAAATACTGTAACTCAGTTATTATTAACAACATGATAAAGAGGACATATGAAGAGGAGAGGCAAATAAAGCAACATTACAATGTGTATCCCAACACAATGTATTTGCCACATAACTCTCTGCTACTCTATAAACAACTAAAAATTAAAAAATAAATCTGGTTACACCATAATTTGAAAACAATTTTTAAATTTCATAGAAATAAAATAAAAACATTTTAAAATGCATCAGATATATAAATATTTAACAGATTTCCTAGGGAGATGTTCCCTAACATAAAATACCGCAAGCAGCTGTACTCGAGTCCATTAGTAAACAAAGAGAAAATTGGAATGGTTTGAGTACAGTCAGTATGAATGCTGAGAAAATAATTTCAGTTTTTAATGATTGTTAATGGTTTTAGTGCAGTCAGTATGAAGAATGAAAAAAAAATTGTATGCTATGTATTTACTATGAGTACTTTGCTATGATTGGTGATGGTTTGAGAATAGGCACGATGAATGCTGAAAAAATTATTTTTTGTTTTAATTACTAATAATGATTTGAGTACAGTCAGTATGATTATTGACAAGAGAACTATGTCTTTTACAATTGATAATGAGAAAAATGTGAGTGAACAAGAGTAGACAGACTACAAAGTGATGACAAAACCTGATAAAGACAAGAAGGTCAATGTGAGTGTGAGCCGTGCAGTAACAAACATGTAGAGAGTCGGCTTGATCCAGTTTGTACAATGCAAGAGACAATATTAAATATGAGATCTGTCATTAGCTTTTCCTTATAATGATATCCCATTCCTCAGTAACTTTGTGAAACCAAAGTTGTGCATGGGTTTTCAAAGGAAGTAAACTTGCTTAGTTAACAGTGATTACCATTCATGCCAAAAACTAATGGGTGGTGGTAAACAGCCATTTTTGTTAGGTTACAAAAATATTTAGAAATTCTGTGTATCTCACATTGCTTGGTTGTTGGCATGGTTATCAGGTAGTGCTAATTATAATTATATCTCATCCAATCCCATAAATTTGTCTGAAATTGGATGCATGAGTATTAAAGAATAATGTATTACAACAATATAAAACTCTGATGTCTAAGATAATTCTACATAACAGAGGTAATGTACTTATCCAATGAACTTCACTGTGCTGCTCCACATAAATTCTGATGAAATGAAGCATGAAGCAAAAATACATGCCATTTGAGATGATATATGAAATACTTACAAAATATATGGTAATACAAACTGTTTTGATTCATGTTTTATGTGCATCTGAATGAAGTAAATGGGAGCAACAGCAGCCAAAGACTGTAGGTGAGGTGATCTGACACAATGAACATGTACAGTACTGTGAGTGACACGATGTTAGTTCAGAACTGCGTCAAGATATGACTGTAGTCTTTAAAGAACATTCAGTACTTCCCTACTTTGTACCAGGGAACATATAACAAATCAAATTGGGCAGCTAGAATTACAAAGTGAAAATAAATCTCATGAACAAATATTGCACAATCACTCTTATTTCTGAGTAGAAAGAAGATTTATAGATGGAAAAGCAATAGGAAACATGAATTGAAAAAGTCTACTTCACTGCCACAGGAGAATGAGAGCATTAGATTTGATAGAATTGATACTTCCCCAATATTCAATTAAAAATATTGTTCCAAGTTAAACATCTATCACATAAAGTAAGAAGAAACTTTTCTATTTGACAATATAGCAAATCCCCACAGATATGGTCTTCCTGAATGTAATCTTACACTGTGAAAAACAAATTTGTCCGTAAAGATCAACAATCTGATATGGTCTATTTTTACTCTGCTAATAACTATAAATATTTTATGGAATAAAACAAGACATGGTAAGGTACTGGACAGGGTGATCCACTGTAATATCTACACTCTTCAGCATTGTCTTCATTATGTAGAACAAGGTTTAGTGTCTTTATAAACCACTATTCACACACAGATAAAGAATTTTTGTGCAAAACTGAAGTTTTGGTGGAGAAATCTGCACTACCATTTCTGATGTAGAATAATGTAGTTCATGTCTTACAAAACTACACACGCAGAAATTCTTTCATTTACAATCAATTGTAAATTTTGTCCATGTGTATGGGGATCATGGAAATGTACCGTCTTCCAACAACACACAAACATATAATTACTGTTTATGCAAATACATACACAACCTACTCTCATACAAAATGCTCTCCTTCATAAAAACCTCTATCTGCAGGGGCTTGCCACATTAATGAGGCACTGAGTTTCTCTTCAAAGTACACTAAAGTAATATGACATGCACTCAATACAGTACAGTACGGTACAAAAGAAAAAAGAAAAACAAATGTAGCTGACCTTTTGAATTAAATCCCATGTGGCAAGATTTACCAGCTTAAATGTATGAACCTATACTAAGACTGTGGAAGATTGGGTTGACTGTTGTTTATTCTTAATAATAATCTGAACCTTTCCCCAGCAGTATCTTGTAGCACCTCAATGGATAGCATGGATTCCTCTGCCATGTTTTGCACCACCTGTAATGTAAGACATTATGTATTGCAGCCTTGGAAAACAAGGTTTACTCATGTTTTAACCCTTTCATTACTATGAGCTTATTAGATCATTTGAGTGTTGTGTACCAAATGTCTTGAATCATCATTATTATTGGAATTTTTCTTGGAGCCAATTTATAATGCGAGTGCTTAATTTCATACCAGTTAAATCATCCGCTATAAATAGATGTGACTAGATTTGATAGATTTGAGTATTTAAATAGATTTGATTCTATTGTCACTAGACAATAAGGATATAATTTCTAAGATTGCAATTATTTGTGGCTGTGAGCAGCACATTCAGAAGGTTGACAGTGCATGATAATTGCAATAAAATTGTGCACAGTACACAATCAAGATGTGACATAATTAGATGGATATGATTTTTATGATAAATATTTAGTAAAAATGTAGTCAGGATTAAAATAATTTGAACCTTTTGCTGCAGCATCCCAATTCCTCCCCCCCCACCCCCCTTTCCCCCCAGGTCACCAAGGGTTAAAATTAAGCATTGAGTGCAATACAATGCCCTTTTTAGGGGACAGCCTTCAATAGCTTCCTAGTGACTATGTGTTGCTACTGCAGAGCCTCAGAGTTCTATGCCAGAACTCTGAAATCCACACTGACCTACTGAAGCCAGTACAGTACTAGAATCCAATGCACTCTCAGGGTGACAATAGCTTGACAATCAAGAGATCTACCAAAAATGTAGGAAACCAAGCAGAAACCTTAGGTAAAATAAAACAAGCTACTGCTTAAAGAAAATAAAAAATTGGGAAAATAAGGCATACGATAGTTTGCTGTGGGTAAACAATCCTCATCTTAATATGCCAGCCACCACCAGACGGTATCCTATGGCACCAGATGGTACCATAAAGAATCCTGGTTCACCACCTACCTTGCTCATGAGCCGGAAAAGACAGGACAGGAATGTTGAGTTACAAGAACACCCGTATTTTTGGTTTTGGTGCCAACACCAGCACGAGCACCACCAACATGGGCGCCAACATCACCGTTCCGCCGTCTTGTGTTAGAACTGCGAATGGGTATGCCAGGAAATGAGGCTGTTATGCGTTGTATAGGCTTACCACGAACACTGATGTCGAGGGTGCACTGTCGTCATCGTCCTCAGTGCGTGGGACTATACTTGCGTATCCACCCTGGCAACCACATGCATCAACCTTTCTGTCGGCCAAGCAGGAGCCGTGGCGACACACAGAGAAAGAGACAAGTCAACCAAGTACAGGGGAAATAGATCACTGGTACAACTTCGTTCCAATAGGATACGAGACCCATAGGTCCATGGGGGACAGAGCCAAGAAGGTTTCTTAACCACTGTGCTGCGCCAACCAAGAAATCTTATTCTGAGGCTGAAACTGAGGCTCCCCACAGTTGTGGGGCATGCAGGTTTTTTTTTTCAAAATAGCAAACGATCACTGGAGGCCTCAGGCATCCATTTCGTACCCGAGTCACCGTGCGCTAGTTTGGAATCATACGCTATACATACGAGCACTCGAGTCACTCTGTACATCCCCGATGCACCTCAAGGCGCTCCGCGCAGTGCAGTGGTTAAGAAGATAAAAAAAAGTACTCTTGCTAATGCCATATTCAGCGCACATGACACTTCTTGACACTCTGCTCTCCACCTTCTTAATTAGTTCAACTTTCTTCTTAAGTGTCATCACTGACCTCTTTCTTTTATGTATCCTGCTAGTTGATGGGCCCATAGAGGGTTCAGCCTACGGGAAGCTCAGGCAACAGAGCTGCAAAGCCAGTTGAGCCCTTGTATGAGAATGTCAACAAGAGGTAATAGGGCTATAACTGGACCCCTGAGAGGTGTACAAGCATGGGGGCCTAGAGGAGAACCACCAAACTACCTTAAAGGGATTAATAGTCAAACCAGGCAGACCACCTCCAAACAATAAACAAAAAGAAAAGAAAAACCCGGGAAAAGCACAACCACAACAGGAGGAACAAGAAACATGGCCGCCGCATCGGTAGTCATGATGCACAGCAACTTGAGCCCCAAACCAACAACAACACTTCCTATCCAAGGCCAAACAATGGCCACTAAACCCCAGCTTTCCCCAAGAGCAGGGCAACTGCCGAGCAGCAGGAACCCCCTACAAAAGTGAAGCCCGAAAGCCCTAGAGAAGGGAACCCTAGAACCCAAGGGTATTACTCACAGGGCAATTAGGGAGGACAGCCCTAAGCACATGCATTCCTCAGTACACTATGTTACTCCTGGCCATCACCCCACAAACAGCAGGAAACATCACAAGGGCACAAAATCCCTCTAGAATGTGAGGCCAGAGTTGACAACCACCCCAGAACACTTCAGCCTTTGAACTGAGGTGTGAGTAGCCGGCGCACAGGTCCGGGACTTTCCCCTCCCCCTACCGGGAAGGGGGAGGGCTGCGCAGACAAACGGCGTGGCGCCGGTGAATGACAATTACTTGTTTGCTTGTTTTCTTTGTTTTCCTTTGGGGAGTTCTGAATCTCTGTTCAGTCTTGGGTTTTTTGCAATTTCCTACCATGTGGGGTTTGTTTTGGGATGCCTACCTTTCTGGGTGCCTAACCCTGCTCGATGGCAAAGGAATACCCCCCCCCCAATACAAGGGGATCTCCTTAAGACCTAACACTTAGTGGGCCAACAAGAGGCTTAGGGCTTGTGCAAGAATATCCCTGAAAAACAAAATGCTCCCTGTACCTCTCTGAGGCCAGGTTCCAGCTCTGGTCCCTGGCAGGCAGAGCTCCACTGACTGAAGTCCCAGACTAATATAGTGCATATTAGTCCTATAGCTCAAGGGAGCCAAAGGGGCTCCCTACAGAAAGATGCATTTTCTCAAACAAATAGTTTATTCCAAAGTCAATGCTAACCTCGTCTGTAACCATAATGTGGATCCCTGATGGCCCTTGCAAATACACATCATGAATACGTTCAGGTGTAATCTGCATTAGAGCTGACAATTTGCGTGTGAAGTCGACACAGGTGAGGTTCTCCAGGTACACTGCATGATACAGCTGCTCATGCTCTAGACACACATAGAGGGTTAGTCTTGGCACTACATTCCTGCTGGGACAAAGTTTGAAGTAAATATATTAGTTTATTTATTGAAAACAAACTGCAGTGAGTGAGTGAGTGAGTGAGTGAGTGAGTGAGTGAGTGAGTGTGAGTGAGTGAGTGAGTGAGTGAGTGTGAGTGAGTGAGTGAGTGAGTGAGTGAGTGAGTGAGTGAGTGAGTGAGTGAGTGAGTGAGTGAGTGAGTGAGTGAGTGAGTGAGTGAGTGAGTGAGTGAGTGAGTGAGTGAGTGAGTGAGTGAGTGAGTGAGTGAGTGAGTGTGTGAGAGAGAGTGTGTGAGAGAGAGAGTGTGTGAGAGAGAGAGTGTGTGAGAGAGAGAGTGTGTGAGAGAGAGCCTTCTCCTAAACCTACTATTTTCTCTATGATTTTCATCTCTTCTGCCGCTCGGTCCACCCTAGATGAAATTTCCTTCTCTAAACATCCAAAAATGATTATGGACTTAGTTCTATCTGCAGTGTTTTGTACCAGTTTACTGTTGGTAACCAGTTCTTTCCTAATTGCTTGCCTAATTTCTGCTTCTTGTTGGTCATTTCTGGTTTTGACTTCCGAACACACTTCTTTGATAGTCTCTTTCTCTTTTACAACTTCAGCATATGTCGCTTTTATTTCTTCTTTATACTTTTCTAGTTCCTTATTCACCTTCTCTATGTGAGTTGTCAGTGAAGTTTCCAGTTGGAGATCCTTACCTAACTCTATGTTAGCCCTTAGGCTTGCTTGGAGTTGTTCACCATATGAGTATTTTCTTGTTTATTTCTTCAAAGTCACCACACTTCACTTTCCATGCCTCATTTTCTTTCACTAGTTCCTTGATTTGCTCCTCCTGATTTGTTACCTTGTCTGTTAATGCAGTAATAATCTTACCTTGTTGAAGCATACTCCCTTTTAGAGTGCAAAGCTCACTCCAAAGAGCTCCATTGTCCTCTTCCAATTTAAGCAGTTTTTCTTCATACTTCTTTTGCATATCCTCAATTATCTCTAACCTGCCAAGAACACCTCCTTTCCTTATATCTTGTGTTGAGAATCCTTTGAAACCATCATCTGTTGGTGTGTCTACATTCTCAGTGGGGGTGGTGGCGGCGGCCATCTTTGTTTTTGTTCTAGACCAAAACAAACTTTTCCACTCGGCTATTTTCACTCACTTTACTTGTTTATTGTATTTTATTTGCTTTTACTCTTCCCTGAACCTTTATGTAACCTGGGACACCACTGTAGCCCTCAACCTGTGCCCAATACTTAGGTAATTCGATATTTACAGGAGCTTGCTGCAGTGTGACTTCTGCCTCCTCCAGCTCATACACCTGTCGAGTGTACACACACACACACGTGTGTGTGTGTGGTGGGGGGGGGGGGGGGGGGGGCGGGGAGGGGGAGGGGAGGGGGGGAGGGAGGGAGGGGGAGGGGAGGGGGGGAGGGAGGGAGGGAGGGGGAGGGAGGGGGGGGGGGGGGGGGGGGGGGGGGGGGGGGGAGGGGGGAGGGGGAGGGGGGAGGGGGAGGGGAGGGGGGGAGGGGAGGGGGGGGGTCGGTCACTTGGGAATGAGTGATCATAGTGTATTGAGCTTTGAGTACCTGGTTGAGCTAGGAATTATCACCCCCAAAAAAGAACTGGGAAACAAAGGGCTGGCGTACCGAAAGGGAAACTATGAGGAGATGAATAAATTCCTATGAGATATACATTGGGACACGGAACTCGGAACCAAGTCCGTACAAGACATGATGGACTATGGGGAGGGGGGGGGGGGAGGGGGGGGGGGAGGGGGAGGGGAGGGGGGGGTCGGTCACTTGGGAATGAGTGATCATAGTGTATTGAGCTTTGAGTACCTGGTGAGCTAGGAATTATCACCCCAAAAAAGAACTGGGAAACAAAGGGCTGGCGTACCGAAAGGGAAACTATGAGGAGATGAATAAATTCCTATGAGATATACATTGGGACACGGAACTCGGAACCAAGTCCGTACAAGACATGATGGACTATGTCACCCAAAAATGTCAGGAGGCTGTAAGCAGGTTTGTCCCAGCCCAACAGGAAAAAACAGAGAAGCAAAGGAAGAATCCGTGGTTTAATAGGGAATGTATGAAAGCAAAGGAGCTGAACAAATGGGCATGGAGGAACTTCCGTAATAACAGAACACCAGAAAGTAGAGAGAGATACCAGAGAACCAGGAACGAGTATGTTAGTGTGAGAAGAGCAGCTGAGAAAAGGTATGAAAATGATATAGCTAATAAAGCCAAGACCGAACCAAAGCTACTACACAGTCACACCAGGAGGAAGACAACAGTGAAGGAACAGGTGATGAAACTTAGGGTGGGCGAGGACAGGTACACAGAGAATGACAAAGAGGTGTGTGAAGAACTCAACAAAAGGTTCCAGGAGGTCTTTACAATAGAACAGGGAGAAGTCACGGCGCTAGGAGAGGTGGCAGCAAACCAGGTGAGCTTGGAAAGGTTCGGAATTACAAGAGATGAGGTCAAGAAGCACCTATTGGAGCTGGATGTGAGAAAAGCTGTTGGGCCGGATGGAATCTCACCATGGGTATTGAAAGAGTGTGCAGGAGCACTTTGCTTGCCACTCTCCATAGTGTATAGTAGGTCACTGGAAATGGGAGACCTACCAGAAGTATGGAAGACTGCTAATGTAGTACCAATATTTAAAAAGGGTGACAGACAAGAGGCACTGAACTACAGGCCAGTGTCCTTAACTTGTATACCATGCAAGGTGATGGAGAAGATTGTGAGAAAAAAACTAGTAACACATCTGGAGAGAAGAGACTTCGTGACAACCCATCAACATGGGTTCAGGGAGGGTAAATCTTGCCTTACAGGCTTGATAGAATTCTACTATCAGGTGACAAAGATTAAGCAAGAAAGAGAAGGATGGGCAGACTGCATATTTTTGGACTGTCGGAAAGCCTTTGACACAGTACCCCATAAAAGGTTGATGCATAAGCTGGAGAAACAGGCAGGAGTAACTGGTAGGGCACTCCAGTGGATAAGGGAGTACCTAAGCAATAGGAAGCAGAGAGTTATAGTGAGGGGTGAGACCTCAGAATAGCGTGAAGTCACCAGTGGAGTCCCACAGGACTCTGTGCTTGGACCTATCCTGTTTCTGATATACGTAAATGATCTCCCAGAGGGTATAGACTCATTCCTCTCAATGTTTGTTGACGACGCCAAAATTATGAGAAGGATTAAGACAGAGGAGGACAGCTTGAGGCTTCAAGAAGACCTGGACAAGCTGCAGGAATGGTCGAACAAATGGCTGTTAGAGTTCAACCCAAGCAAATGTAATGTAATGAAGATAGGGGTAGGAAGCAGAAGACCAGATACAAGGTATCACTTGGGAGATGAAATACTTCGAGTCAGAGAGAGAGAAAGACCTGGGGGTTGATATCACGCCAGACCTGTCCCCTGAAGCTCATATCAAGAGGATAACATCAGCAGCATATGCCAGGTTGGCTAACATAAGAACGACCTTTAGAAACTTGTGTAAGGAATCTTTCAGAACATTATATACCACATATGTCAGACCAATCCTGGAGTATGCAGCTCCAGCATGGAGTCCATATCTAGTCAAGCATAAAACTAAACTGGAAAAGGTTCAAAGGTTTGCCACCAGACTAGTACCTGAGCTGAGAGGTATGAGCTACGAGGAGAGACTACGGGAATTGAACCTCACTTCGTTGGAAGACAGAAGAGTTAGGGGGGACATGATCACCACATTCAAGATTCTCAAGGGAATCGACAGGGTTGATAAAGACAGGCTATTTAACACAAGGGGCACACGCACTAGGGGACACAGGTGGAAACTGAGTGCCCAAATGAGCCACAGAGATATTAGAAAGAACTTTTTTAGTGTCAGAGTGGTTGACAAATGGAATGCATTAGGAAGCAATGTGGTGGAGGCTGACTCCATACACAATTTCAAGTGTAGATATGATATAGCCCAGTAGGCTCAGGAACCTGTACACCTGTTGATTGACGGTTGAGAGGCGGGACCAAAGAGCCAGAGCTCAACCCCCGCAAGCACAACTAGGTGAGTACACACACACACACACACCCTTCAGAACTGAAAGGCAAGAGCTAGGAGGAGAGGTTAGAGGCATTAAATATGCCAAAACTAGAAGACAGAAGAAAAAGAGGTGATATGATCACTACATACAAAATAGTAACAGGAATTGATAAAATCAATAGGGAAGACCTATTGAGACCTGTTCCTGAGACCTGGAACATTAAGAACAAGAGGTCATAGATATAAACTAGCTAAACACAGATGCCGAAGAAATATAAGAAAATTCACTTTCGCAAACAGAGTGGTAGACGGTTGGAACAAGGTAGGGGAGAAGGTGGTGGAGGCCAAGACTGTCAGTAGTTTCAAAGCGTTATATGACAAAGAGTGCTGGGAAGACGGGACACCACGAGCATAGCTCTCATCCTGTAACTACACTTAGGTAATTACACTTAGGTAATTACACACACACACACACACAATATATATATAAAGTTAGTGTAATAACAGCAAAAAACAGTATGTTGGTGAGGGAGGTGGCGTAGTCTGCTGGCTGCTGTGTCATACCTCTTATCACATGTATACTTTATCACATGTATTTATATAGATACCTAATGACAGTGACAGTATGAGTGGCTGTAGCAGAATAAGGTAATGAGTAGATCTATCTTGAGGTTATCTTGAGATGATTTCGGGGCTTTTTAGTGTCCCCGCGGCCCGGTCCTCGACCAGGCCTCCACCCCCAGGAAGCAGCCCGTGACAGCTGACTAACACCCAGGTACCTATTTTACTGCTAAGTAACAGGGGCATAGGGTGAAAGAAACTCTGCCCATTGTTTCTCGCCGGCGCCTGGGATCAAACCCAGGACCACAGGATCACAAGTCCAGCGTGCTGTCCGCTCGGCTCCATATCAATGAGTGGATCAATCAGATATCCAGATTATCAAGGATAGATCAATTTGAGATTACAGTATTTTAATTTATTTAATTTTTCAGCAGAGGTGTACTGATTTATCAGTACCGGTGGTTACAGCAAATTTTTTGCAGTACCTGTGTCAGTATAGGTAAGATCTCACATGTTCCTTCATATTTTTTTTTTACACACGTGGGTAAACATTTGTTTACAGAATTGCATTGGTTAATAAGGCACTATTGATTTGGGTTCAAATTTTAGTAGCGAAACACCACCAATTTTTTCTTGATCAATTTTTAACATGTACACAACAAACTAGGCATAAGGTACAGAAACGAATAGAGGTTCAGTTGGTCTGTTGTTAGGCAGCTATAGTAGCTATAGTAACCCTCTCGAAGAAAGTAGACTTGAACAATTCAGGTAGGATATAGGCAAAGAGGAAAAGAATTCCACAAAATTTGAAATTTTAAAATGGTATACGGTATATTGAAGCACTTAGTTCTAAATTTCGTATAGTAGTATATTAACAAAACTATTACTAAAGTATTTTGTACTTACTTAGCATGTAGGGCATAAAATAGTCTAAGTCCATCAGCCATGCCACACATTTCTATGAGGTCTGAGCGAGACAGTCTTAAGATATCGGTACCGGAGAAATTTGAAAACATGCTGGTGTACTTGTTAAAACGATTGGCCATTAACCAAGCTGTAGTCTGAGTTGTACTGCTTCCAGTATTGAGAGGAGCACCATAGTACTGATGATAAAACAACAAAAACTGTTTTAATATTCTGATCTCCAACTTCTAATAAACGTCTTAACAAATTATATGGCACAATTATATTTCCAGAGAAAAGCAGTTATTAAATATTAAGACATTTAGAGAAGCAAGACTCCTAACCTCCAACTGGTGGGGCAATTTTAAGGCTATTACTTCCTTAATTATACCAAAATACTTAAAATAAATATAATCACAACACTCATCAGAATCATAATGCCTATTAGTGTCCTTAGTACAGTGACTGAATATATCCTATAGTATAATGTTGAAAAAAAGAGAGATGAACAGAATGAAACACCTTTTTCTGGAGGACCCCTGGTGGCTCCCTGATGCTGTTTCCTTGAAATGGTTCCCAATTACTAAGTCATATTAACCACAGCGTTCTGTTTGGCTTCTTGGATACCAGAGCTAAAACTTGGTCCCCCTTTACAGAAGCACAGATAGTAGGTGACACTGACAGTGGGTGACAGTAAGGGGGCGAGACCTCAGATTGGCATAGTACCCAGACTGAGAGGAATGAGCTACGAGGAGAGACTACGGGAATTAAACCTCACGTCGTTGGAAGACAGGAGAGTTAGGGGGGGACATAATATGCATTAGGAAGTAATGTGGTGGAGGCAGACTCAATACACAGTTTCAAGTGTAGATATGATAAGAGCCCAATAGGCTCAGAAACCTGTACACCAGATGATTGACAGTTGAGAGGTGGGACCAAAGAGCCAGAGCTCAACCCCAGCAAGCACAAATAGGTGAGTACACTCCACTATCCTAACGGGAAAGCATTCAGAAAATCAGTGACTCAATACAAAAACTGATAAGTTCAAAGAGACTGAAGCCTCAAAAGTCCCATTTCCAGTGCCCAAAGGACTGATCAAATAGGATGCCCAGGAATTCTATAAGTAAATCAACAAATAGTTAATGCGGCTGTGAAGGCCAACATCATCATGCAGTGTAAAACAAGTACAAGAACTCAAAATGTACCCCAGCCAGCCAAAATGTTCGCCCCTCAACCAAGGGTCTAGACAGAGAGGACACACCTGAGGTAAGGAGTGAAGAGTCACCAAGTAGTCTGGCCTGTAAAAAGCAAACTCTCTAACACACTATAGTAGAGATGTCAGTGCAGGGCAGTGTTACGGAGCACGCAAGTTAGGTAGCCTTAAGAACCACTTACAAGTACCCTTTACAAGCAATGTCCCACAACACAAATTGAACAGAAAACATGCTCATGAAGCCTACAAAAATATAGAACAATACCGAGCAAATGGTCCTTGCAGGACAAAGTGCAAGGATAGCCAGCACTTAACTGAGAAACAGCAGGACCTTTTGCAGCTGGTTGACAACTTGGGAACCCTATAGTGAACCCGATTGACTGAATTGACCGAGTCCACCTCAGCCACTGAAATGACTTGGAAAGATTGGGGAAGGACCAGGAGCTGCAAGCCCTCCTCCTCCAACACAAACTAATTTCAGTTACCTATTTTATTAATCATTACTAAGAGGTGCTGTTGCCCCTCTAGCTGCACAGCGGTGCTGTGCGCTGCTCATGCATACCCCACCATTGGACACTCTCTCGGTACTAAGGCTCTCACAGCCAGCACAGATGCTGACAATTTTTTTCTCAAGATGGCATATGTTTACAGGAGTCCTGAGACAAAGGATATGAGCCCCATGTCCCTACAGTTGTTTTGAATTGCTCTCTATACCTAAAAGTGCCAGATGGCACTCTGCGCATCCCTGATCAGGCACCTTAAGGAGCTCTGCGCAGAACAGTGGTTAAATAAAGTAGTGGTCTATATTGATTCACTTTCTGGATGTATTAAGGTAGGCTGGTGAAGTGTCACCTGCTCTCTGTACCCCTGTGACGGGGGGGCCAAGTTCTGGTTCTGGTCCCCAGTAGGCCAAACAGAACTCTGCAGCTGATGTGACCTAGTAGTTGGGAGCCATCTAAGCAAGAACCCTTCTGGGAGCTACAAGAGGCTCCTCCAGAAAACTTCTGAAAAAACCTGAATGAGTTGACTGGGAATAATAAAATAAGATGACTATTAGTCAATGTAAATAGATTAAGGGAAAGAGTAAGATCATGCAAATATGTAAACAAGAACTGTTAGTAAGAGTACAGAGCACCCAGATAAAAATAATTAAAGGCCACTTTACATTACAGGAATACAAAATTTAATAAATATTTTAAGACAAGTACAGCAAAGGTCAGAAGAGAGGAAAACTTCTCTACTAGTTCTATAATGCTAAACAGTATATGCACAAACACCAAGAGTTGAATGCAATAAAATACCCCTTTCTGGAGCTAAAGTACTGGAACCTATAAGTCATATGCAGCCCTATTGGGCACCAGGACCATAATCTGGTTTGTTCAATGAGGTGAAGGGATAATTGGGGCGGCAGGATAAACTGCGATGGGGAAGCCATAAAAACCCTGCTGAAAATACTAACAAGGCAATAAACCTGACAGGGACGAGGGACTTCAGCCACAGGAAGCCAGGTGCAGGGAAAGTGTCTCGGTGAAGCAAACACCGAACCCCTGACCTCAAACACTTGATGATGGAGGGTGTAAGTGTCCACAGATAACAAAAATCACTTGAGACATAAACATGTCCTCTGCTAAAGTGCAAAACTTTTTAACACACACAGGAGTAGGGCCAACATGACAAACATAATGTGCACAAGCACACAGTCCTTTTTTTTTTTTAACCGTTCTCTCCATCAACAAGCCCTAAAGGGAAGATTAAATCTCATGCACTGCCCTGAAGCGAGGCGACTCGAGAGGAGTCAAATTCTCAGAGAAGGAAGCCTGCACCATCCTTAGAACAGGTGTCTCTGGTTGTATAAGGAAACAATGACTCTTTTTTTTTCCTAGGAGAGCCTAATTCCCTTTAAACACTCACTTGTTTTATTGTGTGTATACAGCACTTTCTTTTAGGGTTTCCCTGATTTTGTGATTGATCTCTGATCCCCCTGCATCCCCTTGTGTCGAAGAGTGAACTAGATTATGATCCTGGCTCCCAGAATGCAATGAATGATTATTCAATAAACTGCTAAGTAACAAAAATGAGAGAATAGACATGCAGTGCTGATAATATGAATGACTCTTACAGGACAAGTATCTAAAGGCAGAGAAATATGTTAGTGTCAGAAAGCTTTAGCAGACTCTATGGTGGACTTTCAGTACCATTAGACAAAATCAGTCAAAACAGGAATCAAAGTCTTCTCTAACCACAGGCATATATAGTAGCAAACTTTTACTAATAAGAGAATTTTAGTCAGTAAACCTCATTCACAAACATGTTTGTAATGAACAATTATTATAAAAACTCAATATTAAAAATTCAACCTACAACACGATTACTGAAAATTAGGCAGCAAGCAAACAGTCACCACATGTACACAATAACAATACTGTATTACTATCACCATATATTTACTTTCTGGAATATCAGTTTCCCCTTGAGCGAGAGACCACTTGCAAAGTTATCAATCTTGCTTACCGGATTATCTTGTTCTTCGTCTGGATCATGCGGATTGCCATTTTCAATAATTTTTAATGGTTCTGAGGATGATGGGTCAGTTTTTCTGAAAACAAGATTGCATTAAACAAGTACTCAAAGAAACCCATATTTTTGGGCTATCCCACTTGGTAAGGAAAGATCTAAGCTGATCTCTGATTAGAATTTGGCTCAGTTGGGGGCAAGTACATACAGCACGAGCACAACAGGCAACTCTTCAAACTGTCACTGTCAGGTCATACTGCTGCTAGGGAAACACTGAAAAATACACAATCTAGCCCAGATTGTAGACAGAAAAGATAATCAATTGAACTCAAAAGCTTTTCTAGATGTAACTTGGCATCAAAGAAACTGTCAAGCCATGACTAAGCAAACTATTAAACAACCAACTAGGTCACTACCTACCTCCTCACATTCCATCCAAATTTATCTTGACTCTTCTACATAATAATTAATACATAGTGATCATATCCTCTCTGACTCTTTTCTCTCCTCTAAAGTTGTTTAAATGAGCTCCTTTAACTGTCTTTAAAGCTCAGACCTATTAGTTCAGGCACTAGTCTTGTTGCAAACCTCTTGGAGCATTTTAATCTTGGGATTCTGGGTTATTGGAGTACAGGGGGCCCCTTTGTGGTGCTACTGGTTGCACAGTTGGGGATGAGATACATCTTGGCTGGTAGGGCCTCTTGTGGGATTTTATTTTCATGGTTACAACATATTGGATCTCAGGAATGCTGGACTCCCTTGTGAGGATTGTTAGTTGTGTAGTGAAGGCTAAGAGTTAAATGGGTTGAGGAAGCCTCCTTGTGGGGTTGCACATTGACAGTTAAACCTTAGTGATACTGGAGCTTCCTATGAATCTACTTGTTCAATGGTGCGGGTAATGATACAACTGTGATGACAGGACATCCTCGTGAGGTTGTAAGTATAGGGGTACAAAAAAGGCCAAAACCACGAGTGAAGGGGTGGGGGCTGTGTGTGGATTGGAGGTTGCTGGGTGTTGTAAGGGAGAAAAGGGGGAAAAGGCACGTTAGGGCTAAGCAGCCTCCCCTAGCCATGGTTCTCAGCCTTATATTCAGTGTTTCAATATCGTTTTCTTCCTGCCCTTTACATTCCTCAGAGGATTGGTCCTGAATGTTACATGAAAAAACTGCCAATCATCACATGTTGAGGTTCTAGGGCAATTCTATTGTCACCTTGTAGGGAGCCGGCGGCTGAGCGGACAGAACACTGGACGCGTGATCCTGTGGTCCCAGGTTCAATCCTGGTGCCAGCGAGAAACAATGGGCAGAGTTTCTTTCACCATGATGCCCCTGTTGCCTAGCAGTAAATAGGTACCTGGGAGTTAGTCAGCTGTCACGGGCTGCTTCCTGGGGGTGGAAACCTGGTCGAGGACCGGGCCGCAGGGTCACTAAAGCCCCGAAATCATCTCAAGATAACCTTTATAAGTAGCAGGTGGCACCGATACTTAGTCAACATCTTAGGGCCTCTCACGAGTATAAGGTGAGAAACCCATAATTATAAACCCATCAGTATATCTGGTGGGTTTCCCAACATTATCTTGTCCTTTGTTAGCCTTCTACTCATTCCACTTCTTAAGTCCTTTCTTTCTTTGTTTTTTTTAGAGCAGTGACTCATGACCAAAAATATATGCCCGTACACTCTTTTGAGTTTATATAATGCACTTTCTGTGAACATTCTGGTTTGGATTGAGTGTCACCCTAGCACTGATATGACCTAACAGGAATAGTTAACAAAATTCTAGCAGACCTGGCACAGTATGTAAATCTACCCTGATGATGCCAGATCCTAACCAGAGGTCAACAGGATCATGCTTACCTTAGGGAGAGTTTGCTGTTCCAAAAACTTATTTTCATCTGCCCTCAAAGCATTGATGCAATTTAACAAATCTTACATATGTAACATTCAAATAACTTTAATCAAAACAATTTTCCAAAATTAACCAGAAACAATATACTGTTCAGAATAGGAGAGGTCATATGCCTACATTATTGTAATTTATTCACTGAATACCGTACAGTAAATCAACACATATACGCAGAATATTGTTAAGTCTACAATCACATATTTCCATATTTTCATAAAATATGTTGAAATTAGTACAAATATATAAGTAACATGAGAGGTGCTGCAAGTAACACATGTACAGAAGAGAAAAAAATTAAAATTACACAGTACAATAAAAGTTTCAAAATAGATACAGTACAATATTTTTAAAATGTTCTGAAAGACAAATAACTACACACATAATTAGGAATAATAACTTAATATCTGCATTTAACATTGAACAATGATAAACTGAAAATATAATAGCACTACAATACATATTAAAACTAAATTTGTGCTCTTTGGTATTTATCAAGTTGATGCTCAGAGCTTATCATATATCAAATGATGCTCAGAGCTTATCATATATCATAATTAAAATCAGTCTCCGTGGCGTAGTGATAAGACACTCGCCTGGCGTTCCACGAGTGCTATGTCATGGGTTCGTACCCTGGCCGGGGAGGATTTACTGGGCGCAATTCCTTAACTGTAGCCTCTGTTTAACGCAACAGTAAAATGTGTACTTGGATAAAAAAACGATTCTTCGCAGCAGGGGATCGTATTCCAGGGACCTGCCCGAAACGCTACGCGTACTAGTGGCTGTACAAGAATGTAACAACTCTTGTATATATCTCAAAAAAAAAAAATCCTGTACTGTACACACAAATGTATGACATGTCTGTGTGTGTTACTAAATAATAGTGTTAAGATAATTGTGTCAATGGGGTAAGATCTAGCTCAAGAAACCCCACCTCATAGCTAATGTGCCTGCTAGATATACATCTCCAAAAGTTCCAGTACTTTCTCATATTGCTCTTGAAGCTGTGAATGGGGGTTATTTCTCAAAGTTTATTCCACTTATTTAACAACATATATTCTGTAATACATCAAAGTGTCTTGAGATGAAGTGGAAAAAATGCTGGAGTTAGGTAAAAATAAAGCAGTTGGCCCAGATGGCATTTCATCTTGGGTTTTGAGAGAATGTGTACCCGAGCTGAGTATTCTACTTCAATTGATTTTTCAGACATCTTTATGTACAGGAATCTTAGCAATATATGGAAATATGCAAACAGTTCCAAACTGCAAAGATGGTAACAGAGAAGACCCTATAAATTATAAACCTGTATCATTGAGAAGTATGGTAGTCAAAACACTATAAAAAATAATTAAAACCAAATGGGTAGAATACCTGAAGTGAAATGACACAATAACAGACAGATAGTATGGCTTTGGAACAGGAAGGTCTGGAACAGAACAAATCTACTCAGTTTTGATAATAGCATACAGAGATTTTACAGGAAAGAGATAGTTGGGTTAGGTTGATTGTGTTAATCAGGACCTAAAAGTGCTTTTGACATGAGTCCCACACAAGAGGTTGTCCTGGAAACTGGAGCACGTTGGAGGGTGTGGCAGGAAGACTGCTGACATGGGTGAAAAATTGTCTAACTGACAGACAGATGAGGGCGGTAATCACAGTCAATTTGTAAGACTGGAGAAGTGCAAGACTGGGTAATCACAGTCAATTTGTAAGACTGGAGAAGTGTTGCTAGTGGAATACAAAATGGATTAATTCTTGCACCAATAATGTTCATAGTGTATATAAACAATCTACCAGAAGGAATACAGAATTATATGAACATGTTTGCTGATGATGCCACGCTACTAGGGAAGATAAGAGCCTTGGACAATTGCCATGCCTCTCAAAATGATAGTAATGCAGGCTGTCCAGCCGCAGTGTGCCCCACCAGCAAACAAGCACTCAATTTTCTGTCAAACAGAACACAGAGAGTAAGTCAACCATATAAAATCGAGTCCAAGTGCAGTTAAAAGCTCTGTACCTTGGGGTACAGTCCTTGCACCACTGCTTTTCCTTATTCTCATATCAAATATAGACAATCATATCAAAATACAATCCACAGCTTCGTATCATCCTTTGCAGATGACAAAAATCAGCATGAAAATTACCTTTACTGAAGACATTGAAAAACTATAAGCAGATATTAATAAAGTTTTAACTGGGCAACAGTTAACATGATGTTTAACAGTAATAAATTCCAGGTACGGTAAAAATGTGGATCTTAAGATAATACAGGGTACAAAACACAGTCAAATCTGCCCATAGCAGGAAAGCAACGTGTAAAGGATTTGGGAATAATGATGCCTGATGGCCTAACGTTTAGAGAGCATAACCAAGCAAATACTGCGACAGCTAGAAAAATGATGATGGATTATGAGAACTTTCAAATCCAGGGATCCCATCACAATGGTTGTACTCTTCAAATCACTTGTGCTGTCCCATCTTGAGTACTGCTCAGTATGTACTCACTTCCTCCTTCAGAGCAGGAGAGATTGCTCAAATAGAGGGAGTACAGAGAATATATTTGGCATACATAGACGTGATGAAGCACCTAAATTATTGGGATCATCTCAAAGCTCTCCAAATGTACTCACTAGAAAGGAGATGAGAGAGATATCAAATAATATACACATGGAAAATATTGGAGGGCCAGGTCTCAAATCTACACAGTAAAATAACAACATACTGGAGTGAATGATTTGGAAGAAAATGCAAAATAGAACCAGTAAAGAGCAGGGGTGCCATAGGCAAAATCAGAGAACACTGTATAAACATCAGAGGTCCACAGTTGTTCAACATCCTCCCAGCGAGTATAAGAAATATTGCCAGAACAACTGTGGTCATGTTCAAGAGAAAACTAGATAGTTTTCTTCAAGAAGTGTCGGACAAACAGGGCTATGGTGTATATGTGGGCCTGTGGGCTAATCCCAGCAACAGCCTGTTGGACTAAGCTCTCACAAGTCAGGCCTGGCCTCGGGCCGGGCTTGGGGAGTAGAAGAACTCCCAGAACCCCATCAAGCAGGTAAGTAGGTATCACTCCCCAACCCGGTGAAAGACAGACAACCCAAGACCCCTGACCTACCCCAAGGGTGAGGACAACCCCAAGTGAGGAAGCCCTCTAATGGGGAGTGAGCCACAAATGCCCCAGGGAAGATAACCCTGAAACCCTGAAATGCAAGGGCAGTACTTACGGAGCACCTAGGGAAGGTGTCCCTTGGTGCGCGCAGCTCCTAGTACATTAATACACCTGGCCAATGCACAACACATTTGTAGGAACAGCCCCACACAAGGCAAAAATCGGACATGAAACCGAGGTCCAACCACCAGAACATAGAATGGTGGGTTGTCGTCTCACCCGGGCCAGTTTCCCCTCTCCTGCAGAGGGTAGTTAATGAGCAGGGGGCTAGTTGGATGTGTTGCCTGTTTGTTTTCTCTCTGGGGAAGTTCTTTTGCTATTTTGAGGACATAGCTTTCATATTTTAACCAGACAGTGGTCTGTATTGATTTGCCTACCTTTCTGGGTCCTTCCTCAGTCAAAGGCAAGTATGACATACTTTAAATGTAAAGTGCTCATAGGCCATTGCTCCCTGCACCTCTCTGAGGGGGGGCCAGATTCTGGTTCGTGGTCCCCGGTAGGCTTAAGAACTCTGTGACTGATGACCCCAACTGATATAGCACTATACTATCAGTTTGAACAGCTTCAGGGAGGCGATGGGGCTCCCCCACAGAAAATGCACTGGGTAACAAAATTAATTTATTAGGTAATCTTCATTCTGACCATCACATATGAAAGCGCAATCATTAGCAAACCATCTCATAGCAACAGAAGTATAACTTTGACAGTTATTGGTAGTGCATACATGATATAATGTTCAAGATAAGCACAGAAATGGAGAACAACAAGTAAAGCAATAAGAAAACCAGAAAGACCACTAGGCCATCTCATTCTGGCACTGGAAAGATTGATTCAAATGCAACACCACAGAGCTGGTTAGACACAATACAGTATGTGTTTGAATGCTGGCAAGGATCAAGAACCACCACTTGATCTCCGAAAATGTCACAGTACAACCTAGCTCAAAAACTCAAGAAGCGAAAATCGGTCGACAGACTTGAATCCCCGAGGTAAGTTTGCCACAATATTGAGTTTATCTTTAGGTGATCCTCACCACATAGAAAGGGCAAGGGAAGATCGGATAGTACTTATGCCAAGTAGTACTGTATGTTCAAACTCAGGGGAGTTAATGAGAGGCTGCTCAGAAAAAAATGCAATTTCCACATCAAACTAACAATTGGCAGCCAGGCATACAGACATGGAGTTGCATGAAACTATATAATGGTGATTATCAAGGTGCAATTCATACAAGACTAGGACCTCATATTCATAAACATAAAACAAAGAAAAAAGAGAGAGAGAGAATGAACTGAGGTGATTAAAGTTACAATAACTTACATATCGCTTGATGGACTGTGTCCCCGCAATGATAGACTTTTTACACCAGCAATAGGTGTTGCTATGGGTGATGACGAATCAGTGACAGGTACATAAACTGCTTCAGGAGACAACTGCAAAGTAAAGTTGAAATAAAAATTATTTTTTAGACATCATTACGCCTGAAGAACACAAAAACACAAAACTTAAATTAACAATATAGGGCATATCAAACATTACTTACCGTTAAATATATTATTTCATTTGGCAATCTTATTATCAATCAATGATCAAACCGGCACAGATACTATTTGTGGTGGTGCACCACACCATAGAGCTGGTGAGACACAATACAGTGTGTTTGACTGCTGGCAAGGATCAATATAACCTCGTTCTTAACACCCATCATTTTTATTTTGCAACTTGATTTTAGTATTAATAATATTTTCACAAAATTAAAATTTTCATTGGGTAGACTAGCTGAGCTGTACTGGTCAGATTATAAAATTGCCAAATACAGCACAGTATTAATGTAAGTGTTGCAGGAGTTGCAGAATATTTGGGAGGTGCCATGATGCAAGAATGCAATAAAAACAAGTTTGTTAAATGCAAGAGAACACATACCCTGCAAACCATGCCTCCTGTTTTTATATTTGTGGTGTTAAAGAGCAAGGATTTTTTCCAGAGCAAATGAATATTAAATTAACCCTTAGACAGAGATCATCGTCAATTGTTGATTCACAGGGTAATCATATAAAAATTTAAAAATTATTGTCTGGGTTTTACATGTAGGATGCAAATATGGATATAATCAGGCTATGTAAATGTAATGGAATTTACCTTGATCCATGAAAAAAATCTTGTTACTAGGGGAGCAGTCATCATCATATGATAATTTAAACAAGTATAGTCTGGGTTTTACATGTATAGTATGATGCAAATATGGATATAAAAGCTCTCTGTGGATGTAAATAAAGAAAAATAAGTGATTATACAATGAATGAAACATCGGAGGATAAAACAAGAAGAGTGGGCAAAGTGGAGCACCAGGCGTTGACAAGTGCCAGCCTTGCAGAGTGCCTCCACCCAGTGAAACGATAAATATTCACTTATTTTTGTGTTTTCCTTACATTCTGCATACAAATGAATAATTCTATAATGAACAATTATTTGTTGATTTTTTTTGTGCGTATGCAGATATGACCATTTCTCCATAACTACTGTCTAAGGGTTAAATCAGTTTTTACTATAGCTAATGAAGAGAGCTATTCCCAGGCCATCACATCTCAGGAAACAAAAAATAAGACAATGTATATCGACAAAAATTTCTAAGCAAGTGGCTTGGCTTCATTCCTAGACTGTGACAGGTTATCTTGAGATTATCTTGAGTTGATTTCGGGGCTTTTTTTTAGTGTCACCGCAGCCCAGTCCTTGACCAGGCCTCCACCCCTGGGAAGCAGCCCGTGACAGCCGACTAACTCCCAGGTACCTATTTACTGCTAGGTAACAGGGGCATAGGGTAAAAGAAACTCTGCCCATCGTTTCTCGCCGGCGCCCGGGATCGAACCCGGGACCACAGGATCACGTGTCCAGCATTTTGTCTGCTCGGCCGACCGGCTCCCCTTGACAGCAACACACTTGCTGTCACAAAAACACAGCAACATACCAGCCATGCCAGTTTGACTTTCACTCACTAATGGAATGAGGTGAGGGTCTTTTCAAACTGCCCCCACTGGCCTATTAATAGGAGAGGAGACACCAGAAATATATCTATGAAGCTTGGAATAATCACCAAAAGGTTAATTAAACAATTTAACTACACTTGAAAACAACACCTCAAAGTAATATTTGGCTTCAAATAGACTGCCAAACATTGCTCTGCTAATTGCTAGTTGGCCATCAAGCTGTTAGACCAAACCAAGAGTTATTGCCCACACTGTAAACATGGTCTTGAACCCCATCAAGCATAGAGTAACTCAGAAAAAATGGAAAAAAAAAAAGATGCAATTGAGTGGCTTGTTCAGAGAAGAGCTTTACATTTACACTCCAAGCATTATTACAGAGTTAATATCACTTGGTTTTATCTCGGACAAGAATATTCTTGGCTAAATGCTACAGAGGAGAATTAACCAGGAAATACTTACCATACCTTGAGGTTACCTGCATGTGGTTATGAGGACCAGTATCCTCACAACTCTGACCTGGTCTCTTACTTGGTGGCCTGTCAACCATGCTACATGAACTGGCATCCAGGAGAACCAGGCAACCAGGCCAACAGACACCTACATAAATTTAAGACCAGCAGAGAAAAATAAGCAGGAATACTGAAGCATAAAAATAATGGCAAAATTCAGATAGACCACTATCTCCCTCCCTTTATGACCATGAAGTCTCTTAGAAAACCAACATAGGAAGTGTGTCCAAAAGTGTCTACTACAACAGATCAAGGGAACAGGGAGAAGTGTGTGACAAACAATGGAAAACCCCACACAGTGCTGGTAACTGCAACTTGCCTGAAAGATGATGCCACAAGCAAAGGCAATACTTAGAACTGAGAAGACCACGTAGGAAAATTAAAGTGTTGAATGTAATGAAATTCCCTTTCCTGACTGAAATTTCAGTAGTTTTTCTGTGATAAACACTGATTAAGCAATGCCTTTAGGAAAGCACGTTTTCTGAAACCCACCCTAACCTGCAAAACATTACAACAGGGGGGTCTCAGGGGTCTCAAAGGGGTCAGGGGGTCTCGTAGCCTGGTGGATAGCGCGCAGGACTCGTAATTCTGTGGTGCGGGTTCGATTCCCGCACGAGGCAGAAACAAATGGGCAAAGTTTCTTTCACCCTGAATGCCCCTGTTACCTAGCAGTAAAATAGGTACCTGGGAGTTAGTCAGCTGTCACGGGCTGCTTCCTGGGGGTGGAGGCCTGGTCGAGGACCGGGCCGCGGGGGCACTAAAAAAAGCCCCAAAATCATCTTAAGATAACCAAGATAACAACAATCTGGCATCTTCTGAAAGCAAAGGGAGCTTGTCGCTCAGATATCTACTTAAAACTGAGAACAACACTACCAGCAAGCATTAGTACAACACAACAAGCCACTTGTTGAAAAATTTTGAGATCTGAGTTTTTCAGATCATCATTAACACGATGTAAACATATTAATCCTGTTCTTGAAACCTCTACTAACTAGCAGCTTAGGTCACCAGAGGCTCCAGCCAGCTAGCCAACCTCATTCATGAGCCACATAAAAGATCCCCACCACCCCACAGAGAAGGGAACAGAAGCCATCAAGTTTCCCCACCAGAAAATGTGTGATGTCTGGGAGAGCCGCCTTAATAGCTCTCCTGTACTAATTCTCGATGGTACCTTGATAGAGGTGGTTTACAGTTCTGAAACAGAAAAGCAGCCAGGGCTGACCTACAGAGGGAAGACAAGAAGGAGATCCCAAAACAGAGGGGGCCACACAAATTGAAAGTACAACACAAATGTGTTGTACTTTCTTTCAACACTTTTGTAGCACATTTTCACAACACTTGTGTTGCATAATATAATATTTGTTGCACTAACCAATATTATATTTTACAAGATACTTTCAAATGCTAACCCAGGCTGACCACCTAGAACTAGCCCCAAGCCCAAAATAATAATCGAGCCACCAGGAACTCAGAGCAACGGGCTATGACCTGATCAAAGGTAGGGCAAAACCACAGGAAACAATCATGGAAGAAAATATGGAGTGGGAACCTGAAACCCAGATCCACAGCACCAGGAACTAGAAGAGTCCCCAGAAACTAAATGGGTAGACCTCAACATGCAGCACAGGAAAACTGTGCTGCTCTCTCTCTTGCGCGCTCTCTCTCTCTCTCTCTCTCTCGCGCGCTCTCTCTCTCTCTCTCTCTCGCTCTCTCTCTCTCTCTCTCTCTCTCTCGCTCTCTCTCTCTCTCTCTCTCGCTCTCTCTCTCTCTCTCTCTCTCTCTCTCTCTCTCTCTCTCTCTCTCGCTCTCTCTCTCTCTCTCTCTCTCTCTCGCGCGCGCGCTCTCTCTCTCTCTCTCTCGCGCGCTCTCTCTCTCTCTCTCTCTCTCTAGAAGATAATATAGCCTTTGGGATCAGATCTACCCAAGAATTGAGGAAATCCAACTAGAAAGTCAAATGAAACAAAATAAACCACTTCTTCAAAGAAATAAATAATGAAAGATGAAAGCAAGGCAAACAACTTTAGCCTAAACTCACCTGGCAGTTACTAGAACTTGGCCCAGAGTACCTGGGGTCCCAGTTTGCTACCTATCTTACTCATTCACCTGGTACTGCCAGGATTGGCTGCCCTGTATCTGATCCCACATGCCATTTGTTGACATAATTATGTCGGCCATTCTTAGAACTTTCATTTTGTATGTGGTCATTGTTTTAATTTTGTTTTTCTTTCCACTTCATGATTGTGATTTATACAATCCATCTTGTGTAACTTCAATATTATATTTTGCTCTGAATTTGACCCAGGATGCTCTTCACAGGACTATCAGTTATGTCTCCTTTGCCCCCCACTAAAGATATCTTCTCTAAGTGGCTCAGAGTCTTCATCTATGAATCTTTACCTTTCAAGATGCCCTGTACCCATTCAGTGTGGGACTATCGTCATTGCTGGAGCTGTCAATAGGTAGTTGACGCAGTAGTTAAATGCTTGCTCCTGTCATTAACTCACATGGGTATTTGTGACTTGTGCCATTGCCCAGTTTGAATTTGGAATGTGTTAAATGATTCTTTCTTATGCATGGCTCATTCAAAGGATTACCAACGTCATTTAGCTGAATTAAGAGTAGCTATATGGTTCTAGACAGAAAGTGCCCTCTCAATTTGCACCGGGCAAATGAAAAAGATGGGTGCTTGGCTTGGACCTTGGGTGACCTGGACCACCATTTGGTAAAAGTCAGGTGTATAAAGATGAGTTATTCTTCAAAGGTAATGATTGGTTGCCTTGACTGCCCCAGAATTTACTTCTTTCTTCAGACAGTAGATTGTTTTGCATTGCTTACCGTTCTGGCAGGGGTTTTATGGTTTTGAATCAATCTGTGATCCCTAAGCTTCCCTCATCTCATAGAGGTCAGTGACTGTCTCAGAGGCCTGGTGTACTTTCTCAAGGCTTGACTTCACTATAGCATAAGCTATCATGAAAGATTTCCCACAAATAAAACAAAATAGAGCTTCATTAGTTCTACCTAAATGTCAATAAAGGTAACAATAGTGTACCTCAACTAACAAGTGGCTATGCAATTGGCTTTACCCTGTGCAATAGCATAAATGCAGTGCCAGGAACCAAGCATCGAGGAACTGTGAATGTGGCTGAAGACTAAGTGAATATCCACTGTTAGAAATGTACACACCAAACCAAAACATAAAGTGTAACTGATCTGGTTAAATAACCATGTGTCCATTAATTGCATGAACCCACCATATAACTGAAATCCTGCTTTCTCACCTGGTTAATAACAAGCATGGAGGCCAGTCATACTGTGAGGTGGCTCGATAATGGGGACCCTGTATTTATAGAAGGTGCTTCTCTCTAGTGGTGGTCAGGTGTAGTGGCTGGGATTGGCAACTGGAGGTTAGCGAGAATGCTAACTGGTGATCCTTTGGTAACCAATTAGTGACTGGAAGGGCTTTTGTATTTTTCGGAATGGCTTTCTGAAAAGTCAATCCGTGCTGGATTGAGTATTCTTGTGTCTCCCTAGTGCCAGTATGACCCAGCAAGGTCAATTTAGAAATATACAAACTGTACCTGGTGCAGATTATTGACCTGACTTGACTAAATCTAGACCTGTTCTGGGGGGCCAGGAGGTTCTTGCTCTATGGAGCAAGAGTGGCATAGCTCCGAAACAAAATTAATACTGATTAAACCATAAGATATACCTACTGCAGACACCTAAACTAAAGTGCAAGGTCCTAAATAAATGACTTAGAAATAATTTAGTTACACCTCTGAAATTTTATGATACACTTTTAAAATTAACAAGTCATGATCACTTAAGAAAAATACATGTACAGTATCTCATAGATTTTCTATATTAAAAATCTAATGTGCAGATTCAGTGTTTACTTGTTTACCTGTAACTGTGTTCAATAGTTTCCACACTAATCATGAAATTAAAAGGTCAACTTGTGTGAGTGTGTGATAACTATACTGTAGATACCTCTGTTAAGATGGTGCACTCGCAAGATGGCTGGTATTTTTCTTGTTCCGAGAGAGATCTCTTCATTATTTTCTCTCTGTCTTGTTTGTGTTTTCTATCTGCTCCTTTCAGCTGCAAAAAGACAAAGGAAAGAAATATCAAGACATTCCTTATTGCAGAAAATTAAATTTATTAGCTGAGGTACTTAAATCTGCTAGAAAAAAAATCTAGCTTCAAGTATTGTACATGAAACGTGCTCTTCTGACCATTACACTTAGTCACTTCCTAAGGAAGTGGACTTTCCTAAGGAAAGTCCCGTAGACCCTATAGCTTACAATATATCAAGCAAAATTTGGCAACTCAGAGATTAGCAACCTGCACAGTGACCATCTAACAATCACAGGTCACTATCAGCACCTGCCACCAGGTGGCATCATTGATGCCATAACATTACCCTCCAACTCTACCCTTTCCTTACATTTTATCCTGGCTTCCCTCAGCTGCAAATCATCTGCAGAGGCTTGAACCAATACTTTCAGTTAAGTATTTCTCAAGCATTCTACCTACTGGTGACTACCCTGTGTCAGTCAGCCCCTCCAAACACAACTATGATGTGCTATAATAAGTCCCAGCAAGGGCTATAAAAACCAGAATTGAATGTAATGAAACGCCATTTTCTGGGTGAGCTCCGGAGGCTCCCTGGAGCTATCGGGCTAATATGCAATTCATTAAACCAGGGCATTAGCCAAAGGAGTTCAGCCTACCGGGGACCACAAGCCAGAACCTGGCCCCCTCAGAGAGACACAAGGAGCAATGGCCCTGGAAAACCCTCATGGTGGTTGGGGGTTTTCCTTATCTGCCTTGAACTGGGGTTAGGCACCCAGAAAGGTAGGCATAACAAACCAGAGGAACCAAACCAAAGGAAAACCCCCAACCACCGTGGGGGGGAGGGGGTTTCCAGGATCATTGCTCCCTGTCTCCCTGTCTCTCTCTGAGGGGGCCAGGTTCTGGCTCGTGGTCCCCGGGTAGGCTGAACTCCATTGACTAATGCCCTGGTCTAATGAATTGCATATTAGCTCGATAGCTCCAGAGGTTCCGAAAGAACTCCCCATAGAAAAGCTCACAAAACCAGGTAAGCAACATCGGTGGCAGATCAGGATCCTAACTGCTCGGGGCCGCCATATAGCGGTGGCTGGGTGAGCTGGAGCTGAGGTTGTTCCCATTGCCAGGTTTAATTTTAATTTGCATTATTTTATTTTGTTTTTCCACACTTGGTTTTGCTTTTGCATTACTTGGACTTTCTGGTTTGTTTCCTATATTTATAGATCATCCTCCCATTTGCATTCTTTCCCTTGCCTCATTTAAGAAAACAGATTCAGGTAAAGATCCCAGTAGGCCTGTGTAAGGCGTAGGGTCTGGTATGATCTAATGACATAGCAGTATTTGTGTTTATATAGAAGGTGCTTCAACAGTTTGTCTTGTAATGACAAGATAAACCCAAAAAATTGATGAAACTTTCACTATTCAGAACATTTAGAAGTTCTATATCAAAAAGTAAAAATCTAAACTTTTACTGTTTATATGAGACATGATTCTTACCTTAAAAACTTTGATTTGACAAGCACACACATGTAATCGTTCAAGTCCAGAACTAGTTTGGTTGTACGTCTCCACCTGTGAGAAGAAAATGCTTTATTTATTATGCAAACTATTGCCATATCTTTGCGCATTATCCTTTGAACCTGAAACGTGCGGTACCTAAAATATATTTGTACTACTGTAAATATATTATTTACATACACATGGACCACCTGCACCACTAGGAGGTCCGGATATAAATTAGTTGGCTAAGTATGATAGAAAGAGCTTGATGACTAAGCGAGTGGTGTTCTGAGAAGCATGAATATCTATAGCAGTGCTTTCCAACTGACATGTCACTGCACAGCAACGTGTCGAAAAAGGTTCACAGGAGTGATGGGGAAAGTTTGTGGGAAGGTCAAAGAGAAGTAATAAATTTGAAGAATAAAAACCCAGCATTAAATGTAATGAAACCCCATTTTCTTTGTGAGACTGGAAGGCTCCCCGGAGCTATCCAGGCCGATATGAATGTATTAGACCCCTGGCATCAGTCAAAGCGAATGGAGTTCTTAGGCCTATAGGGAACCACGAGCCAGAATCTGGCCCCCTCTGAGAAGCACAAGGAACAATGGCCAATAGAAACCCCCCGTATGGTTGGAAGCATTCTATGTCTGCCATCGACCAGGTCAAGAACCCAGAAATGTAGGTGCCCCAAAACAAACTTAACCAAAGATAAAACAAGAGGGATTTACCCGGGAGGTGGTTGCCACTTGCTCCTCAACTCAAAAGTCGAGACAACTGGCTGTAACAGCTGACCCAATGCGACACATGCCCGACTAGGGCCAGGAACACTGACTAGGTAGCGAGCGGCCAGGCCCCTGCTCGACCTCCAAAAACCCTGTGCCCGAATGTCAGCCCAAGACATGTTACCAAAGACGGCAGCCAAAGCAGCAAACCTACAAATGTCATGGGCACGAAGATAGACCACATGCTGGCTGGACTGAATAATCCTGTGAACAACCTGGGAGACCCGAACCCTGTAACAGGGAAGAAGGGAAACCTGGTCAACCCAAAGCGCGTCCCTGGCCATCGAGGCCGTGGTGCACAGGTAACGGCTTAGAGCAGCAACCGGACAAAACACATGATGCACCCCCGGCTGAAACAACAAAGTATCAACAACCCAAGGACCCCTTCAGAAAGCAGCAGTCTCATTCTTTGTCAGAAAAGAAAGAGATGGCTGCAAATGAACAAACCTCCCACCAGGACCAAAAGAGCAGAATCCTCTGCGTCAAAGGAGAGCATGAAGCTTCCCAACCCGACCTCCAGAGGCCAATGCCAACAGGAAAGAGCCTTCGCAAAAAATCCTGAACCAAAGGGGCCACAACAAACTGAAGAGAAGAGATAAAAGAGAGCACTTGGTCCAACGACCAGGATGGCTCAGGTGGCGCATGAGCAGGCCGGAGGTGAATCAATGCACGAGACAGCTTGTGGAATGGAGCGGAAGTAACATTCACACTGAACGCATGCTGGAGAGGCGGAAGGGACGTCCCCAAAGAAACCAGAATAGCCAATGAAGCCAAGCCTGACCCGGCGGGTAGACCATCATCGCAAAGTTCAGATTCCCGCACAAACCCTCGAGCAACCACCTCGTGACCCTGAGCCCCCCAGAACAGGTGTAGGTGGGACCGAAGCCACAGCAGAGCCTCTGGAGGGAGAGACAAGGAAGTGGTCCAAGAGTCCCACACAAGACCGAACCTGAGAGGGACCCAGAAGGGGGCTTCTTCCAGATTACCAGGAACCCATACCCGGCAAGCTGGGAAAGAACCAAGTCCCTGGTGAGCAGACATGCGGACTGGCTGGGAGCCCACACCAGCCAGTCGTTGAGGTATGCCAGAACCTGAACTCCTAAGAGACGCAGCTGGGCCACCACGACCCGGGTGAGGCATGTGAACAGGCGAGGTGCCAGATTCAAGCTGAACAAAGTAAGCAATATCAGAATATTTTCATGGGTTTGGTTAACTCCATTACCTCCATATACATGTATTGTAACCATATTTACATCATTTCTATAAAAACAGGGCAATAACTAACATCAGCAAATGAAGATAACTGTATTTGCCTAGGGATCAATATGACAATAACCGACTACTCAGGGTTAATGTGAGCATTCTGTATCACTTGCATTGCATTAATCAATACATATACAATTCACTGACACTTAAGTATGGTACTTAATTTATAAATACATAATGAAACACAGAAAAATATTCACCTGAATACGAAAAGGTACACCTTTCTCTCCACCATGTTTTTTAGGGGTGAATTCAGTGCTGATGCAATTTACCTGAGGAATAAAGGTGCAAATGTTTACTATTCTATTTAAGTAAGAATGAAACAAAGCATGGACATATGTCTGAGAAAAGTATTAAATATCAAAACACCAAGTGTATGAGTGCAGGCAGCTTCTCAAAAACAGTAAGAGGAACCATAAAATTATCTAGTGGGAATGATCAGTATTATTTCATACAGTTTTTAGAAACATTGTGTGCCATAACTATATAGCATAGAGTGTACCATTAAAATTTCTTCTAACATATCTCTCAATACAGATTCACCCACACCATTTCTGCTGTGGGTGAATCTGAATTTCTCTGAAATCTGAATTTCTCAAATCTGAATTTCTCTGACATTCAGATTTCTTACAAAAAATCAAGAATCTGGGAGGGAGGTGGTAAAATATGGTTTATCACTTCATCACGTAAAGCAGCTTCCATCAAATTGAATATTTGTTCTAATCGAGTGTGGAATCCTCTGTGGGTAGGCCTCTCGGACAGGCGTTCACCGAGTTAAAATTCACTTGGTCATGAGAATCTTTTCAATGCGGATGAAATGTTCTAAAGGACTTCTCTTTAGGTCCTCATCAAGAATTTGTTTATTCATGACTCAACAGACTATAGGTGTTGAAAACAACAGAGCTATTACAATGCTTAGGGTACAAATATCAGTAGCAGCACTTGAGTGGTTTAATGGAAACACATGTAACTCTTAAAGAGTATTCAATAACTTATTTGCTAATAGGTGCTATATTTACTCAAGACTAGTGTTGGCAAAGCTAACATCACAACAGAGACATCGGATGTCTAAGTGATTGATAATGGTCCACTGAGGAACAAAACCTAACTTAACTCAGTTGCCAACCAATCGTTAACGTGGCTTTCTCATCACTGTGTGTATGCAAACGGATACACAACAGTTCCAATCGGGATACCTGGGAAATTATCAATAACGTGCTCAATAATAAACACACTAATGACCTATCAATGGGACAGTCAACAAAACAACCAGTTGCAATATCTGTGTGTGTGGTGAGTATGTAAAATTACATTCACCATGACAGGTGTAACACTGTGGTACCACACAGATAATCATATGCTCACCATCAAGTCTGTCTGATTTCAAACCCACACCTGTTACAGGCATTGAGCAAGCGAGAATCACTGGCTGATCACCGAGATTGGCACACAGGAAAAACAACTCGACAACAATGTGAGGTTGTACTTACAGTAGGCCAGTCCTCAACACATTCAATAGCTCCAAGAGGTGGTCTGAACAACTGGTCACACACTCATCCGTAATGTGGCACACTACAATGAAGATGGAGACTACAGGACGATATGGACAAATTGGAGGAATGGTCTAGAAAATGGCTATTAAAGTTTAACTCAGGAAAGTATAAAGTAATGAAATTAGGTGAAGGGAGCAGGAGGCTGAACATAAGGTACCATCTGGGAGGTGAAATCCTGTAAGAGTCAAAAATAGAAAAATCTGGGGGTTGATATCACACCAAACCTATCCTCAGAAGCCCACATCAAAAGGATATCATCAGTGGCATATGCTAGATTGGCCAACATAAGAAATGCCTTAGAAACTTGCGTGAGGAATCATTTAGGATCTTGTATACCACTTATGTCAGACCAATCATGGAGTATGCAGCTCCAGCCTGGAGTCCATACCCAGTTAAACACAAGGCAAAGTTAGAGAAGATTCAGAGGTATGCCACCAGGCCAGTGAGGTATGAGCTACAAGGAATGGCTACAAGAGCTAAACCACATGTCCCTGTAAGACAGACGAGTAAGGGAAGACATGATAACCACCTACAAAATTCTCAGGGGAATTGACAGGGGTGGACAAAGGCAAACTATTTAGCATGGGTGGAACACAAACAAGGGGACACAAACTTAGTACCCAAATGAGCCACAGACACATTTGATTTTTTTTTGTGTCAGAGTAGTTAACAAATGGAATGCATTAAGCAGTGTTGTGGTGGAGGCTGACACCATACACAGTTTCAAATGTAGATTTGATAAGAGCCCAATAGGCTCAGGAATCTGTACAACAGTTGATTGACAGTTGAGAGGCAGGACCATAGAGCCAAAGCTCAAACCCCGCAAGCACAACTAGGTGAGAACAGGCATGGAAGCACAGTCATCTGGCTCTCTACATCGACTGCATGTGGTATCAATGGAGAACACACATGGCAGTAGGCAGACAAGCTTCAAAATTGCACAGGCTGGTGTGTGAGGTGTGTGGGTGGATGATGTTATGTAATGCAGCAGATGGACAGTGGGTGCTGGAGGCTAGGCGGAGGGCACCAGCTGGTAACACACGCAGGCAGTTCAATTGGTAGAACACTAAGCGGCGGCAGCAAAGTTCAACTTTATTCTAACAGGTGTTTGAGGTAAATATCACCCAGAGAACTATGCAGTAGGACTTCCTCTCATTCATGCAATGTTTGTTAATACACTTTTAATGCTTTAGGCTCGCTGATAGACTTTGATTTATCTCGGTGACAATGGCTCACTAAACTGAAGTCTGTTGCATTCTGAGAATAACCCCATGGTGTCTCTACAATTCTCATGTTACTAGATCAGCTCCAATGCAATAGTCTCACTCGATTCCAGGTATATGCAAGTACAGCGAATTACAACGTGATGGGTTAATGTGACAGTCGGGGAACTTAGTGGCACTATTATGTCTATTGACTGGCAAACAAATGAACATGCGCTTTCTCTCTTCACCATTCTTGACTAGATAGCCGGCTTTTGGGTGATGCTGGGCACTGGAGAATCTCACCAGGGACTCTATGGGAACAATGGTCATGCCTATGAACTGACCAATGACAACACTATAAAGGTGTCAGATCCAATGGTATAGACAGATGATAGCATAATGGTTAGAGAGGTGATATCACAGCTATATCACACTTCTTTACCATGACAATTGTAGGCTGATGTAAGGTCTCAAGTTTATCTTCCCTTGGCTGGCCGAGTTTCTCCCAACACCATTTAAAATGGTGGATGCCTGGACACTAGCTTCTATTGCATAAATGCTCAACCCATTCTATCAAATAATGCACTGGAGACATGATGGCCATCATGGCATAACTAGGCTGTTAGCAATTTGGGCTACACAGACATACCAAACATGCAAGACCATTGGTTCCCAAGGATTAACATTTGTCTTATTATTAACACACAAAAAATTATAATTTGTCTATTAGCTGAAGTGAAATGTGTGTATCTTGAGAAAATGCTTCATATGGTTATGACTAATATGTAAAATATGAGATGATTAATCTCTTTGGAATACTGTTTAATTAAACAATTTACATACTGCTTTTAATGTTTGTGGGAAGAGGGAAATGCACTGTATTTAAGCTTTCAACATTAACATTCATTTCCACCATTATTAAAACAAGGACTGATTTCTTTCAAAGTTAAGAGTAGTTATCTGCCATGTCCTTAAAGTACCTGTCTATATTCCCTGGCCACCTGTTAAGATTATGTTAAGCTCACAAATGTGGCAGTGTTATAAGATTCATCTTTAAGCTTACCTTTATATAGACTCCTACTTCTTTTGTTGGGTCCCAGTCAAATTCACACATGTTGAGCGATTTTAAGTCTTGTTGCACATCAAATACACCATATGAGAGAGGAATATCAACCTGAAAAACATAACAAAAATTGAAGCATTTCTTTTATGAATCTATAAAGACTTAACAAAGAACATCAAATCAAAGGCTCCCCCTTTCCTGCTTCTCCATGGGGTGTTGGGAGATTCCATTTTGGCAGCTCATAAGTGATGTAGTAGGTTGGTTGAGACCCCAAGTGACCAAGGCCATCATCTGGTGTTGGTCGTGGCACATTATAACAAGGGGTATATATTATACTCTTCAGTAACAAATGTTGTTTACCTCATGGTTACTAATTTTCTTCAAACAGTCACTTGTTTTGTTATGACTATCCTTTTTGGTGGGGTTTCTTCAATGTTGGGTTGATTTCTGAACTTGAAGTACACTTGAAGCACCGGGGCCGGCCGGCCGAGCGGACAGAACGCTGGACACGTGATTCTTTGGTCCCGGGTTTGATCCCGAGCGCCGGCAAGAAACGATGGGCAGAGTTTCTTTCACCCTATGCCCCCTGTTACCTAGCAGTAAATAAGTACCTGGGAGTCAGTGAGCTGTCACGAGCTGCTTCCTGGGGTTGTAGGCCTGGTCTAGGACCGGGCCGCGAGGACACTAAAGCCCCGAAATCAACTCAAGATAACCTCAAGAAGATAACCCTTAACTCATACAAGAAAGCAGGTTCTGGTCATAATTCCTGGTATGGTAGGGTTGATCACAGAGACCAGGTGCCATTCCTAAGGTTTGGCAGTACAAATGGTTAAGGTTGGGCTGTCTTAAAACATGCAACAAAAGTTATCCCAGAACTAGGAAGTAATATAAATTATAAAAAATTGAAAGAACTCAAACTGCCCACATTGGAGAACAGGAAAACAAGAGCAGATCTAATAACACCTTACAAAATTTAATATGATATGAAAAATAAAAAAGTTCTTTTGAAATCAGTAATAGGAAGGAGAAAACATTTTTTACTAACTTCCAATATTCTCTCTCCCGGTCTCATCTGTCTCCAACTCTCCAGTTGTTGTCTCTCCATGTATTGTAGACGCCGCTCGTGGAAACATACTCGTATTACACTATGGTACAATTTTCCTTTACAGCTGCAAGTAATCAAAGTTTCCAGATTTTAAAATATTTTAACATTGTTGATATGTTTAAATATATAGTATAAAAAGAAATGAAGTAATAGGGTATATGCATGAAAATTTTATTTTTAACCTATTCACACCTACATTATACTAAGTGTCAGGAATTAAACAAGAAAAGTTTCAACATTTACAACATGTGAGTTTCAAAATTGTCACCATTATCAACACCATTCATAATGAATAGGTCTCAAAATTTCCACAATAGGTAACATCATTCACAATATCTGGGTCTCAAAGTGGCCGCCACTGTCAAAATAATTCACAACAGTCATCCTGAGCAACAACCTCAGCATCGTCTGAACATGAACATCAGCAGTTGTCTCAACGAGGTGCCCAAACATTAAATCAGCTGCAAAGATCACAGGTTACTCAGACGAGGCCATCTCCCTACCCACTAACTAAACCCCCTCCAACTGCAACTGTTAGGAGGGCCCATTGCTGAAAATTAGCAGCAAGAAATCAAGAGTAAACACTGCCAGAAGAGAAGACATCAGGAGGACACTTATCAAAGCAAAAGGGATTTGGACAGATAAAATCAAATGTTTAGAAATATAATCTCTGAACAGCCCAAGGAGTACTTAAGAGCTGGTGTACACCCTCACACATTAACCACCTAGCTATCTATATCCAAGCCCTACAGATTGCTGCATCACTCAAAATTAATATACTTTTTAAATTACTCCCTCATTATTATAAGTTTTTTTTTACCACTAAACTGCCAAAAATTTGATTTAACTTTTGTGAGAGCAACATTTTATAAAATATTCAGAGAAGTGCACTTTAATTTTTTGACTTACATTTCAGCAACTAAATACTAAATGTACATATAATAAAGGCCCTATCTTACCTTGTGAGATCACCCAGTTTTTTTACTTTGATTTCATAAGACTGGCCTTGGTTCAGGTACGATAAGCTTTCTTCGTTCACCTTTGTTGCCACAGATGTTGCAGCACCCAATATATACTGAAACCTGAAAAAATACAAAATCATAGGTTAACGATTACCTCTAGCATCATCATGGCAACATGGATACATGTTCAGGTGAGTATTAAAATAATGCCTTTCACTTTTGCAGCCCCAGTCCTTGTAAAATACAACAATATATAATCTAGAATCCTAGAAACTTTTCAGTCACACACTCTCCCTCACTACACTATATATATATTAACTACTGACACTGAAAAAGTTCTTTCTAATGTCCCTGTGGCCCATTTGGGCACTCAGTTTCCACCTGTATCCACACCTGTGTGTGACACCCGTGTTAAAAAGTTTATCCTTATCTACCCAGTCAATTCCTGAGAATTTTGTACGTAATGATCATGTCTTTCCATACTCTTCTGTCTTCCACTGTCATGAGGTGCATTTCACACAGCCTTTCCTCATAACTCATGCCTTTTAGTTCTGGGACTAGCCTAGTGACATACCTCTGAACTTTTTCCAGCTTTGCCTTGTGCTTGACACGGTACAGGCTCCATGCTAGGGCTGCATACGCCAGGATTGGTCTTACATACAGTACTGAATGTGGAATACAAGGTTCTGAATGATTCCTTGCACAGGTTCCTGAAGGCAGTTCTGATGTTAGCCAGCCTTGCATACACTGCAGATGTTATTCTTTTTATGTGGGCTTCAGGAGACAGGTTTAGTGAGATATCAGATCCTATATCTTTCTCTCTGTTCGTTTCATGAAGGACTTCATCTCCCATTCTGTATCCTGTGACTGGCCTCCTGTTTCCACTGCCTAGTTTTATTACCTTACATTTACTCGGGATGTGGGATGTTGTACGTGGCTTCTTTGGGTACTCGGCTTCCACCTGTGTCCCATTATGAGTGTACCAATTATATTGATTTTTTTTACCGCAATTTTACCGGCTAGTTGTTTGTTATAGTTCACCTATCTTTCTGGGTGACCACCCCGGTCGATGGCGGAATATGACATACATTAAATGTATAGTACTCATACGCCATTGCTCCCTGCACCTCTCTGAATGGGCCAGGTTCTGACGCATGGTCCCCAGTAGGCAAAGAACTCCTGTGACTGATGACCCAAATTAATAAAGCACTATATCAGCTCAGATAGTTTCAGGTAGCCTCTGGGACTTCGCCCAGAAAATGGTGTTTCATTGCATTCAACACAGTATTTTTCTTTTTGCAGAAAACTGCATTACTGTATGTGAAAAAAAAAAACACAAAGTGAATTTCAATTAGTATAACTATACAGTTGTAACCATAAACATCCCTAGATCAATATCCCTACCTGCTGTCTTCATAAGACATATTTTGTGAGGAGACAGAAACAGGTTCATGTGTGACATCTGTGTTTGATGAATGGACGGATGAGAGGGCAGAGTGGTGGCAGGAAGCAAGATTTGCAGATGAGGCTGTTTGGTGCTGCAATGTTCCCGGGTTGGCCCCAGGAGTTAGGTGTTGCTGAAGTAGCTGATGAATGGTAGGTGGAGCACCTTCTGATATACTATCACTGCTCAAAAGCCTAAAGAACAAGGAAAAGAACATAGTGTATTAATAAAATAGTTAACAAACACAAAGCTGCAGTTAATTTACATTTACAACAGTACTGTATATGTATACTGATGCTGTTTAATTACTCTTTAATCAAAATTATAAATTATAATTTATCTCTGCATTTTTGACACTTTGTTCTCTCCCAGAACTTCTTTTGAGAAAATGACTACAAAAACCTCCAGGCCACCACATCTAAACATACCTTTGAAAACTGCTTGATTCTTCTAATGTCCTCTAGAGACTTCTGTCCTTTAGTATTTCACCTACCTTGCTTATGTTGATAACTTTCCTTCCAGCACTTCAGTGTTCTTCACCACAATATTTTACACATAAATACATTTACAATATAGGATACATATGGTACATACTCATACTTTCACACACATTTATTCTATACCAAAGCAGACACACAGAATTGCAAAATAGGACAGGTTTAACAGAACTTGAAAGAGTACAATGGACAGTAACACAAAACTTAACTAATATAGAACACAAGAATGAAGGTAACTGCAGAAAACCTATTGGCCCATAGGAGGCAGCTCCTATTTATATCCAACCAATCTCATTCATATATATGTCTAACCTACGCTTGAAATCATCAAGGGATCCTACTTCTATTATGTTACGCGGTAATTGGTTCCACAAATCAACAACCCTGTTACCGAACCCGTATTTATCCAGATCTTTCCTAAATCTATACTTATCTAATTTATACACAATTTTTCATATTCTGTCTTATGTTGATACTTTTAATACCCTATTAATATCCTTCTTTGTTATGTCCATTCATCCACTTATACACCTCTATCATGTCACCCCTAATTCTTGAGCTTTTCTAGAGAATGTAATTTAAGTTTTGTCAATCATTCTTCGTATGACAGGTTTCTAATCTGCGGGATTAACTTTGACATCCTATGCTGAACGTGTTCTAGTGAATTTATATCCATTCTAAAGTATGGTAATCAAAACTGAACTGCATAATCTAAATGGGGCCTAACAAGAGCAAGATATAACTGAAGAACAACACCAGGTGTCTTATTACTAACACTTCGATAAATAAATCCCAGGGTCTTATTTGCCTTATTACGAACATTTATGCACTGATTTTTTGGTTTTTAAATTCTTACTTATCATAACTCCCAGGTCCCTTTCGCAATCCGACTTCGCAATCTCAACACCATCTAGCTCGTATCTTGTAACTATCATCATTACCTTACATTTGTCAACATTAACGCAAACAAGTAGCATGTTGGTTTGATGATGTTTGCCTATTGCACTGTTTTTCTTGGGGGGAGTTCTTAAACTCGTTTGGTCATGGGTTGCAATGTTCTACCATTTGGGGTTTATTTTGAGACGCTTACCTTCCCCAGTCGATGGCAGACATGAATATACTCTCAATGAGTGGAGTTTTCATAGACCATTGCTCCCTGTGCCTCTCAGAGGGAACCAGGTTTTGGCTCGTAGTTCCCGGTAGGTAAGAACTCCATGTGACTGATGCTCCAGACTAATATAGAAAATATATCAGTCCGATAGCTCCAGGGAGCTGATGGGGCTCCCCACAGAAAAAATGCCTGTAATGGCACATGGATGAATTCAATTCCAAAAGAAGATAGTGTGAGTGCCAACACCACTGGATTCTCCAACATTGTATAACAAATATTTTATGGAGCCCAGTTCTCATCCTGAAACTAAACATAGTCAAATAACACTAAGGTAAGAAAACACACATTATGTAATCGAATGTAAAATAGGAAAAAACAGACCACACACAATCTATAAATTATGTGAAATGATAGAAAGAACTCTGACAAAGAAAGATATGTAGTGGGGTTATGGATGGTAATCTGTCACCCGAGGATCACATGAAAGGTGTTGGGAGATGCATCTATGCCATGCTAGCAAATGTCAGAACCATGTTTAAATATGTCAATGGAGAAAGACTCACTGTTTAAAGAAGAAAATGTTTACGACATTCATGAGATTGAAATTGGAATATGCATAAGTTGTGCAGTATCTATATTTCATCAGGCACACCAATAAATTAGAAAAGGTACAGAGCTATTAGGAGAAACTAGGGATGTTAAATATATAAGAACTGGAAGATAGAAGGAAAGGAGGCAATACAATCATGTACTAAAATTGACACAATTTACAGTTAAATATTTTTAATCCTATAACCTCCAAAGCCAAGAGGCCATACCTTCAAGCCTAGGAAACAGAAGTACTAAAAAAATATACAAAAGTTCTCTTGTGAGAAGAATTATAGAATGTTGGAATAATTTAAGTTGCAAGCTGGTGGATGCCAAAACCACCAGCAGTTTCAAAATGTCATATGACAGAGTACAGGAAGAGGGTACACCACAAGATTAGCTCTCATTCTGCAACTACACTTAGGTAATTGCAGTGTAACCTTCATAGACCAAAACATACAGTATATGGCTGACCCTGCTCAAGATGATAGAGTCCATCCTATTACCTTTTATACTATTTTGCAATTTATTGCCAAATTTAGGGGTATTTCCTTACAATAACTTATAAACAACATGTTTGCACATTTATAAACATACAAACAATACACTGTATGAACAATGCATTTAATATGTAAAAGTACTTGAATATTAGACAAAATTTCCTTAGTTACCTTTTCATTTTATTTTATTTTGTAACACTTTTTCACTGTATAGAGAGCTGATTACATAGATTTTCTTTTATCCCAGTCTTTTCCACTCCCTACACCTTAAACTGAGTGAAAACAAACTGCTTCAAACTTAAAATGAAGACTGGCCATAACAATTTGTTTTAACTACTGTATGAGTTAAAACAAATTGCTCCAATTCCTTCTAGTGCTGCACTCAACTACATAAATGTTAAACAACCGATTTTGAGCAATATTAAGAGTTACCATTCACACCCTCTAATTTTCCCATGATCTAAAGTCCAATTTTACGTTGCAAATTTTTCATTGCAACATGATATATAATGCGTCTCCGCAGAGCAGTCTCCGTGGTGCAGTGGTAAGACACTCACCTGACGTTTCGCAAGCGCCTTGCCTTAGGTTCGAATCCTGGTCGGGGAGGATTGACCTGGCGCCAATCCGCCAACGAGTTGAAGACGGGCCATGCGTTAGCCGTGATCGAGCGCTCAGACGCCTTCCTGCTACACTCCCAATTCCCGCCCTTTTCAAGGCTTTCTTTCGCAATTTTCTTCCTGGAAGGGCCTTGTTCATGATTACTATCCATCGTGGAGTAAGCGTAGATAGTTTCTAAAGCCGCAGTAAGAAATATAGCCACGGAAAATAGCCGAAATGTTCACACGTTTGAGATGCGAGGGGAGGCGACATTGGTCACAACAGTGGAGCGAAAACAATGGGCCCACGGCGTGTGCCAAGCCGCCTGAGGGCCACAAGGCTCAACAAAGAAAATGGGAAGACATCGGCGCACATTTTAAAACCAGTCCCCAAAAAATAAAAAAAAAAACCTGATTTTTGGCGATTATTTAAAGTGGATGACGCAATGCTGCGTCATCCCCGGTATTACCGCCAGTAAACGGATGACGCAATGCTGCGTCATGCCCGGTATTACCGACAGTAAACGGATGACGCAATGCTGCGTCATGCCCGGGCGAAAGTGTTAAACGATTCGGCGGGGTTGTATTCCGGGGAAATTAGGATTAAGGACCTGCCCGAAATGCTACGCGTGCTAATGGCATTACAAGAATGTAAAAACTCTTGTAAGGCAATTCAAATTATGTTGTTTGTAGTATAAAATAGTTGGAAATGGTTAGTTTTGGACTCATAGGTGAAAAAGTACCATTATCCGGAACATGTGATTATCCGGCTGGGGGTCCTTCCCATATAGTCTGGATAATCGAGTGGAGACAGTATTAGTTATTGGACCCCACCTTTCTAACCAATTTTTTTCCTTTATTATGTCTACTACATAAATTTCTCTTACACACACACACACACATACATCCGCAGGAAGCAGCCCGTAATAGCTGTCTAACTCCCAGATACCTATTTACTGCTAATTGAACAGGTACATCAGGGTGAAAGAATTTCTGCCCATTTGTTTCTGCCTCTGCCAGGGATCAAATCGAGGCCCTTAGGACTACAACTCCAGAATGCTGTCCACTCAGCCGCGAGGCTCCATTCACCATTCACGTTGGTTCCACAGACAAAAACATTTTCTTACTCTGCTTCCTATAATTTACTTTCCTTCAATTAAATAGACTGACTCATTTCCTCCAATGAGAATGGACTGACAAATAGTTACAGACTTTTTTCACAGATGTAAACTATAATAATCACATGTACGCATTTCAATGTGCGACATTCTTGCGCACACACACACACACACACACACGCAAAACTTTCAACTGTTTAAAATATTTTTTGTTTCACACACAAAGTTTTGATAAATTAAAAATGCAAAATTCTTCAAGTGTTTCTGTTTATACTTACTTGAAAAGTCTGTCAGTTGTATTGCTTTGTGAGGAATCATCAAATGTTGCAGGAGTGGATGATGTAACACTTTGCTTGTCTTGGTTTGGGGATGCAGCCTCCTCCTTAAACTGTGACACAGAGGGAAGAGCAAGTAAAGCCTCACTCATGTTGTACGATGCCTGAAGGGGTAAAGTTTTAAAAATCAAGATGCTTGTTCAAGAGCACACAGATCCTGTGCACTGATTGTATCCTTAAAATTGTTTGTCAATATATTAATTGGGTAACCATACTGGCTGCCAACTGCCCTCATGCAACCGAACACTGCAAGGGGTTGAAGCATATAACAGTGGCACAGTCATTGTAATAGCCAGCCAAAATGATACTTGGCTTCTCCCACTTTATAGGAAATATCTGAGGTTGCTTCACTTGTCCAAACCCTTGTTTCTGTTTTAAATCTTTGTGTACTCTGCCACCAGAATACACAAAGGTAACCTATCAAGGTGTTATATGTATTAACTGTTATATTTTGAATTCCCTTATTTTTATACCTTTGTGTTAGTGCAAGCCAATCCCAAGTCTACACACTACTATGCTACATGATTTAATACCTGATTGTAAACTGACACCATATTTGATTCTACATAACATTTAATTTATATGGTTAAGAGCTTTAAAAATTTCTATATAATAAATATATAAAATGCAAATTAATTTTATGTCTAGTATTATAACCTTTGTATTAACATTTATATTGGTGTAACAGAAAACTTCGGGTACAATAACAACGGCGAGTACATAGGAATTCACACCCACAGTGGAAAGAGCCGAACTTGGTTGGTTATTTAACCTGTAGTAGGATCTGGTCTACTTTTGTTTCAATGTTGCTTTTTATTTAATTTTAAACATTATTTTAAAGAAACATAGTTTACTATGTTGTCTTATTGTATTAATAAAAATTTTAATTTATCATTTTGCATAAAATTTGCCTGGAATGCATCCTATTTTTCAAATAATATTACAATCATTATTTTTACAGTCCAATTCTACACATCTGTCTAGGAACTCATCCTTGTGTACAATCAAGATTTTATTTTATTTATTAATTATTGAATTGCAATTAAAGTTATCATAATTTAAATATGATAAGTAAATATTCGTGTACAGTACAGTCTACTCTCATTATGCAAAATTAATGCATTCAGTATAATTAACTTTTAAAGTCACTGTTCTTTTTCACAACCAAGCCTCTGTCTGCTATACAACACCATGCATGAGTTCGGTCAATTGGAACTGGGTAGCACATAGGCCCTTAGCCTAGCCTAGTTAGTGATTCCTAAATCAAGTGTACAAATAAAATAAATTATTCACATTTAAAATTAATACTAAAAAAATACTAGCAACCAATTAGTTAGAAATCCATTACACATAAGCTTTATTTATCTTATAAAATAAGAAAAATAGGCCACATAGTTACAGTAAGGAAGAGGCAGGAGTTACCTAGTCACACTCAAGCCACTCAACTTGCCATACTTGAGAGTATACGTTGTGCAATGTTTGCAAGGTTTCACAGTGCAAGAATTCACAAAGTGCATAAAACATACTAAAGACACAATTAAGGTTATACTGTATTATAAGGACCGTACTCGAACAGATATCAGTAGACCAGAACCCTTGGTAGGCAGAGAGAACTGGCCAGTGCATACAATTTTGGTGAACTGCAATATGGCATCCACTTCGTCAAGCTGTTTTGGGAGACTGCTCCAATACAGCTTGGACATACCATAAGTTTTGATTTCTTTACTGTCCTCTTACATTTAGTAGTAAATACTAATACAAAAAGCTATACATGTATTGCTATAATTGTACTGTATTAACAATATTTTACCTTAGTTAAACATTGACTAAACATCATATAATAGTGATTATAGGACTTTTTTCTGTGGTACCCGTAGCCTTACTGTAACTGGATGCATTTTGGCAATGTGATTTTCCCTTTGCAATTGTGTAAAATGATTTGTTGTCACTCAAGAATTTTCATTCATTTTCTTATGACAGTTTCATTATTTCTGAGTTCAAAAGATATCTACCAGCAGAAGTAGTCAGATTAAATCAAGTCAGGTGAAGTGGAAGTATGTTAACAAGGAAGAAAAACCTAAATAGACTGAGATAAGTGAGCTAATCCACAAGGGCCGTGATGGGGGTTTGAACCTATGTCAGAGAAAATCCCAGACGCGCCTTAATCGACTGACCTACGACATGGTAAAAGAATTGCAACTGGGAGTTCAACTTGACCTACCACAGATCCTGCAGTTTCTCCGAAACACAAACCACGTTTTTACACAATTCCCCCATGCACCCCAAGTCTCGAAGAGACTACAGGATCCGTGGTAGATCAAGTTAAACTCCCAGTTGCAAGTCTTTTACCATGTCATAGCTCAGTTGATTAAGGCATGTCTGGGATCCTCTCGTACGTAGGTTCGAACTCTCATCACGGCCCTTGTAGATTTGTTCATTTGATGCATCACGCTATTGTGATTTCTGTGTATAATAAGTGAGCTAAGCTGTGAAGTAAGGCAGCTAGCAGAGAAGTTTGGTGTTGGCACTAATATTTCTGATAAAAAGGAAACAAAAAATGTAGATTTTGGGGTTCAATGCCAAGAAAGAGGCAAAGATTCAGAGAAAAAACAATTATGAGAAGCCTAACCAAAAAACTTTTAGTTATACACAGCACCAATGCGAGAGTGCCTGTCAGTAGTGAACAAATCAAGTCACCAGTAGAATGATTGGCACCTAACTTGGAGATTGAGGATTTTAAGGGTCTAGCTGGCTGAAAAAATGTAAGAAAAGGAATACAATTGATAGAAGGAATATTTCAATTAAAAAATTAAGTCCCAATGTAAATAGTGTAGAACCATTTAAATGAACACCCTAATTGAACAATGATGACCAACAATTAAATCTATCACAAATTTATAATGCCGATGATACTAGTTTTAAGCAGAGAGGCTTACCATGAGAGAAATTGACTAGTAGGTTGGAGGAAACTGCCTGGCTGTAAGATTACCAAAGAACATCTTTCAGCCATGGTGTATGCCAATGCAGACAACACACAAAGTATGACATTATTGGTAAAACTGCTAAACCAAGAGCCTTGAAAATCACACTATTTTAAAGACTGGTTTCATAATCAATTCTGTAAAGAGAAAGTTGAGTTCCAAATTTAGGTGAGGAGGTTAAAGGGTGATAAGATGCAATTTCTGTCATTGCTATTTAATGTTCCTGCACAGTATGCCGTGAATAATTTAAAATAAGAGAGACCAAACTATTTTGCATGACTTCCCTCAAACATAACATCTCATGCTGCTGCTGCTTTTGTTGCAGTGAGAGGAGGGAAGATAAAAATGATGAGGAGCAAGAAAAGAGTAGACTAAAGCATGCTACCAATGTAGATTTTGGGGGGATGCTTGTGAGAATGAGAAAATTGTAGGCCTTTATCCACACTGAAGGCTGGTCATAAGCATTACATGAGGTGGTAAAAGTGGACTTATATTTCATGAGAACTCCAATTTCAAGGGAAAGCAGAAGAGATTGAGAGGCAGGACCGTCAAGAAGGTCAGATCCACTAAGTGAAGGTACATAAACTGTGCAGGTGTCAGTTCCAGACCCTATGTTTGTCTAAATTATAAACATTCATTGTCCAGTACTTGCAATAAGGATTCCTTTTAGTTTGATTACAGTGTTATCTTTTTAAAAGCTAACTTGAATTATGTTTCAATTAAAAGTCTCATTAAATTATTTCTTTAACCATTGCACTACTCCAATCATCATCTGTGTATACCACACCTTCTGTGTGCAAATCGTCATACATAATTTTTACCCCTTTGATTTGTTAACTATTTTTTGTCATGCATACCACAATGTTGTACTTTTAAATAATTGAGCGATCCAAAGGCTAACGTATTGTACAAGCGTAAGTTGCAGTACACCACTTATTTAATAGTGCTGTACTACTGCATCTGCACTACCGACTCACATTCTGCATACAAAAGGTGTCGAGTAACCTGCTTGCCTTCGAGGTAAGTAAATTATTATATAAAAGTTTTTCTCATTTACATAATTTAGATCTTTTTATAGTCTGCTTTGTTTTCTAGCGTACTGTATTTGAAATATATTGTTTATACACACTTGGAAGTATATACATGAGCAAAAACATGTTCCATCATCTCTGGTAAAAGACAAAATGCCAGTAGCAAAAATAGTCTAAAATCTTGATGAACCAGAATCTAGGGTGAAAAAGAACAGGTCTGGTCACCAATTACTCCATTAAATCATCATCTCATAGTGCAAGTGAAAATTATGACCCAAAAATGGCTACTCCAGACTACTGGATAAAATTCTATTGTCCCGAATCACGTAATGCCACACATATGTATTTTGATCAATCGAGAGTGCACTGTACACGTACACCATTATTATTCCTATTATTACTACCAATATTATTACCAGCAATAGTATTATTACTAACAATATTTGTATTACCATCAGTAATATTATAAGTATCAATAGCAATATTATTATTATTGCTATTAATATTATTATTATTATCATTATTATTATTATTAATTATTATTTTTATTATTATTATTATTTATTATTATTATTACAGTATTATTATGATTAAAAATTTATGAGCAGCATTAATATTATAAATAATTGGTTTATTAATAAAATCACTTTATCACAATTATTAAAACCCTCATTTAGATAGCTTGGACACCACATAACGCTACTTTGTTCACATACATACAATACATACATTACATGTATTACATACACCGCTTGTATGCTTGCTTGCTTGCTTGCTTGCATACACACACACACACACACACATGCATTTGCACCTTTCCAGTTTGTTCATGTGCTTCTCGAGATATGGGCATACAACTTTGAGATACAGTATCATACAACTGTGGATGTGTGTTTGAAATTACACTTGGGCACCATACAATTGCATGTTGTATGGTGCTCATATCTCATGAAGCACATGAACGAACTGGAAAAGGGGCAAAGGCATGCTACAAAATGGCTTCCAGAACTGAAAAACAAGAGTTGTGAAGAAAGGTTAAAGGCAATAAACATGCCAAAAGCAAGAAGATAGAAAACACAGGCGATATGATCACCACTTACAAGATAATAACGAGAATAGACTATACTGACAAAGAGGAATTCCTGAAACCGGCAACTTCAAGTACAAGAGGTCACAGATTCAAGCTAAGGAAAGAAAGGTGCTGAACAAATATTAGATAAGTTTCTTTTGCAAACAGAGTGGTAGACAGCTGAAAGTGAAAAGGCAATGCATTCTAAAACTGTCAGTAATTTCAAAGCATCATACAACAGAGTACTGGGAAGATGGAACGCCATGAGCATAGCTCTCATTCTGTAACTATGACCCGTACCTAACAGCCAGAACCACGCTAACTGGCCTAGTAAGCAAGGTTTGATTTGCCTAACCGGAAGCGATTTTTGTTATCTTCAATTACAGTATTTTGTTTCCAATTCCTAATATTAACATTATATTATATTAAGAACATGAATTAGTGGCTTAGCTATAATAGATTAATTTAGGAAAGTGAAGTTAGGCTAGTTTTGATCAAATTTCTAAGTTAGTTTTGACTCAAAACAACTCAAATCCATATAATACAACAAAAACTTTATAATTTCACAAGAAATTTTTTTGAAGAATTTAATATTTCAGAAAAATTTGGCTTGTTAGGCAGGCAACACTGGCTATTAAGTATTATACATACATGTTGTACCTAATAGTCAGAACTGCACTACTTGGCACAAAGTAGTAAGCAAGATCCAATTTCCATAATAGGTAGAGTGACTTTACAATACTATACAGTATTTTCAAACATTTCTTTTCAAATAGATTCATTTTTATCATTAATAATATATCATATTAGGAACATGAATTACTGACTTAGTTATGTTATGTAATGTCAAGTTATGTCAGGTCAGGTCAGGTCAGGTAAGTTAGGTTCAATTTGATTATTTTTTTTAATTTCTGTCAGTTTTGACTCATTATAAAATAAATAACTGCAATACATAATGCAATAAAAAATTATCATTCCATAAAAATTATTGAAAAATTAAGTATTTCAGAAAAACTTGCCTTGTTAGGCAACTCTGGCCACTAGGTACTAGATAGATAGATACTGTAGTTTCTTCCACACACACATCCACACCATTACACCACTTGCACACCAGGTTTTTTTTATATTCTTTCCATTTTGAGGTTTACTTATGAACATCAACATAATAATGGCTCAATAATGAAATGAAGTGTCAACCTACCTACTGTTATACCTCCTGCTATTTATCGTTATCAGATGTTATACTACAATGGGAGCCGGTAGGCCGAGCGGACAGCACGCTGGACTTGTGATCCTGTGGTCCCGGGTTCGATCCCGGGCGCCGGCGAGAAACAATGGGCAGAGTTTCATTCAACCTATGCCCCTGTTACCTAGCAGTAAAATAGGTACCTGGGTGTTAGTCAGCTGTCACGGGCTGCTTCCTGGGGGTTGAGGCCTGGTCGAGGACCGGGCCGCGGGGACACTAAAAGCCCCGAAATCATCTCAAGATAACCTCAAGATAACAAGTTAACTTCTCAATTAACATCTTTAAATCTATCACAACATTATACATTTATTTCCTTTTGGGTAAATTAAGGATTCCCTCGGCTGATGACATAAAAGCAAGCTCTTCCACAGCTTGGCCCAAATTTGTTGTTACAAATAATAATTTTTCCATCAATCTTTCCTTAGTACAGTACTGTATCTCGGCTTCCTAACTTAAATTATGCCTTACTAACTTGGAAACACTTAAATTTCAGTCCTAGTATGATATGTAACAGATTATTACACATTACAGTAATTAAACTATGAAGAGCATAACTTTAACCTTACTTTATTAACTTTACAGATTATCTTCAAAATAAAACTATTTATTAATTATAACATTTTCTAGCAGAAAAGAAAAACAAAGTAAGTAACTTGCATAATATAACCTTTTTCTCTAAACACATTTCAGTATCAATTGCAAAAGATAAAATTATTATAAAAAAAAAAAGATAGAATGGCAAACCTCAAAATATCCACTGACGTACGATACCCGTACGATTGGCCGAAACACTGTGCGTATTAGTGGCTTTAGGTATTGTATGTACTTGCTCTATCTATAAATCCAACATTATATTTGTAACTCATTTTCTATGTATGTACTTTTATCTGAATAAACATTTTGGATTTTTTTTTGAATACCTAACTTCACCAATAAATATATAGATAAATCTCTGAGCAAGATTGTTTTGACAGATGTGAAATGGGTATCAAAGGGCACACCTGATAGTCACACAACCATACATGACTTGTAACTGATGCCATTGTACACACACACTTGTCAAGTCACACGACCTTACACAACAATGTAACTGATGCCATCAAACACCCTTTGTAAAACAACCATGCATGACACATATGTGATGCCATCTAACAGTGTTTAAGGTTAAGTGTTATTAAGCAACAGTCCTGTTATGCTGCATATGTTGCATCTGAACATTTAGAAAGAGCAGGCAACGACAAATTATCATAACATCACTCACGGTGCTTATGTCTACTCCTAAACCTGAAAGGGAGTCGTCAAAATCTGCTGCCAGCCCTTGATCAATGTCCTCTGACTCCCAATGTCTCTGATGGCCCCCTTCTACAGAGATAAAACCTGTGAAGATTATAAGATTGATCCAAATTAATCATAATGATACAATATATTAACCTCAGCAATGTGCTCAACAAGCTTAATATTTCATCCTGGGCAAAATTGTGCAGAATTACATGCACTCTATAGAAATCTATTGCAAAACAATAAAGTCTGAGAATGGAAATAAATAAATGGAGAAAAGGATTGATTAAAATTAATATCTCTGCTGCAGTAAACATCCTTAACCTTTTGGCTGCTGCACCTCCAAAAACGTTGTTCCCACCACAGGTCGAAATGTATCTAAAAAAAAAAGTGTTTTTTATTATATTTCTAGCCAGAAAATGACCCCTATTTTTTCATCTCTGCCATTAAAAAAACAAAAAACAAAAATTATTTTCTAATACAAAATATTGGCCAAGGTACTCAATACCAGACCATAAATTATCCCAAAGCACATAACATCATAGATACAATCATTAAATATATTCAACAAGACATTTTATATATTTAAGTTGTGAACAACAAAGTATATTTTATTAATATACTGTATATACTGTATATACAGTGTTTATGTATAAATATACCTGTATATATGCTGTATACTGAATGAGCTCGCTTATCCAGATTCTGCTAAACCGGATATTTGGGTTATCCGGCCGAAATCGCATCCGGATAATTTTCTGGCAAAACTTCACAATATCCGGATAATGATCCAGATAATCGGAGGTTTGAGCGGATACCGCAGACAGGCATAGAGTTTAAATCAAGTCCGGATCATTTTCTGGCAAAGCTGCTCCGTATCCAGACAGAAATCTGGATAACCGGAGATTAGGTTACGTAAATTTTCAAGAATTACACATTTCAAGATCTACATTATCAAACAAGACGACAAACTGCAACAAGGAAAGCTTTAGTTTCTCTCTTAAATTATATTTTTTATTTATACAAGCCATAAATCACTAAGAATTTTAAATGACCCGACCAGGATTCGAACCCATGACATCCAGGATCACCCCTAAACATACACAGTACCGTAACCACTGCACCATTGATTGTCTGTAAGGATTGTCAGTCCTGATTCTTATTAACTAAGCTCCACGACTGACCAACCCCCAATAACACTCATTGATCCATATGGGTACAGTTTTTGATCAAATTCTGGCACATGCATGGGCCGTGCTGAGTCTACAAATGTGAGAAAGCTGCATGAATGCGCAAGCCATAATTCGCCAAGAACTTTAAATGACCCAACCAGGATTCGAACCCATGATGTCCAGGATCACCCCTAAACGTACATGGTACAGTGACCACCGCACCATTGATTGTCTATAAGGATTTGCAAGAATATTATGTCAGTAATATACTTGCTCCATATTCTCATTATGTTATGCACAGATAATGAGATGGCTCTGTTAATTACAATTAATACCTCTTCCCAAGTGTACAGTTATACTTCTTCTCAAACCTGCTAGAGGATGGTCGGATGAGGTGTAGGACTGGTAATATAAGCAGTCGACAGCGAATCATCATCAGTAAAAAGGAGGAGGCCACAGGCCGGAGGACACAACACGAAATGCCCACAAATTGTGGGACTAGGCGTGAGCAAACAGCATGAGCCTTTCCCCAGCGTCCAGTCAACGTGGCGACCTACAAAAGGTCCGATGTCCCTTACGAGAAGCCGGCCAAAAGGCAGAGCGAGCATTGCATCCGACCAGACGACGCTGGTTCAAAAACTGGCACCAAAGTCCCACCCTGACTGGAAGAACCCAGAGCCCCAGCACAACCCTTCCAAGAGGCCTGAGAATGGTTACCCCAGAGAAGCAACAAATCCGACATAGGACGTCAACTATACAAGGCCGCCTGCAGAAACTGTGTGACAGCAGTCTGCAAACAGCAATGGATTTTAAAAAGGAGACAAAAACCTAGGAGTCAGGACCCAAGCGTATTCCAAGGAGAGAGAAAGCACAGCCTGGCAATACATGAGGCGAGAGGCAAAACAGACTGCCTCCTTGAGAATCAGCGCAGACAGCTTCAACAGGGCAGTCGACACCCTAGCCGCTGAAGCCAGCGCCCCAGACGAGAGCCCAGCACTCAATGCCTACACATCCTTTCCAAGCCAGTCTGAGGACAACTCGAGAAGGGAAAAGAAGTGCAAGGCCAAATGCCCGCGACCGCACAAATTATCAGCCACCAGAGACGCCGAAAGGGTGGGAACCTTCACGTGCAGCTGCATAAGGCCAACATTCCAAGGAAGCACAGGGGCAAACAGGCACGCTTAAAATCGCTCCCCAAGCAAACCTGCAGAACAGTAGCTGCCTCCCGCCACTCGAGAGTGCAGGTCCGACAAAACCCATGCCACGCTCCCTGCAATAAGTAAGGGCAGTCTGCGAGCCAGGAAGACTCCTGAACCTCATAAAACACCAAATACGGGGAAGAAGAGCCATACTCAAAAGAAGACTGATCCATCAGAGGTATAATCCGGGTTTCACAGGAGGAAAGCCACAAGAACCTCCCAAACCTCCTTAGGCAGTATTTGAGAGGCAGAAAAACTCTGGAAAGAGGGAGCCGAGGAAGCCGAGGAACCCAAGGAAACCCATAACTGAATCCGGGAAGAAGCCGACCCCAAATTAAACAGGTACAGGAAATGGGGAGTAAGAAAACCCTCCTTCTGCAACAACAAACCCCGCAACGAGGGCACCAAAACCTAAGCGGGACCAAAAGGAGCCCAAGCCCCCTAGGGTGACTCCTTCCCAGCCCCTAGGGCAGAGCCGTCATCCATGCCCTCTACCCCTGAAGAAAAGGCAGAGTCCAAGGGAAAGGCATCAAAGAAGGGGGTCGGCTGGTAGGACCCAGAAGCCTCGGCAGGAGGAGCAGGCTCAAAACCGGGGCATTCTAGCTAGCAACCAACCTAGCGTATTACAGCAACCTGAACCTAGCATGCAACGCGGAAGCTGCCCAAAGCTCAGTTACAGTATAAGGGGTAAACTGGAGCACGAGCAGAGGACACGTCTCGCAAGACTCCGGGTCAAAGGTGTCGTTGACCCAACAGGCAACATGACGGAGGTAAAACAAGTGACTGTCACCCCTGAGACAAGGGCACAGTACAAACTTCAAACTCTCACAAGGTGAGGTGGGATTCAGAAGACACATCCATCGGCCAACCATGCCCCAACAGGGTTTTTCCAGGGCCTGTATGGGGTTCTGCCTATGTGAAGCCCAGGCAAGGTGCTGCTAAGCCGGTGGAACCTGAGTGTAAACAAAGAGGGAGATGAGCTATAAACTGGACCCCCTGTGACGTGTACAGGCACTAGAGGACCACCAAAATACCCTGGGTGGATTAATAGTCTAACAAGGCAGACCACCTCCAGGCAAGGAAAAAAACGCAAAAGTACAACGCTATCAGAAGGAACAGGAACACGGCTGCCTGCCGAGTACATAAGCGTGCAACACAGCACCCGGCACCGCAACCAGCAACACCACCATTTCCTAACCAAGGCCAAACATAGGCCACAAAACCCCAGCTGGCCCCAAGGGCGGGGCAAATGCCGAGCCACAAGAACCTTTATGGAAGTGGAGTCATGAAGGTTCTAGGGAAGGCAACCCTGAAACCCAATGGGTAGTACAGTGGAGCCTCGATTAATGAATTTAATCCATTCCGGCATCAAGCTTGTCATGTGAAACACTCGTCTTGCGAAACGAATTTTGAGTCAGGCGGGCTCTGGACGTTTAGACATTTCTTGGTAACCTTGGTAACTCCTTTAGCCACTTCAAGCTTCTTAAATTCTTCCTTCCTCTTCAAGATGGTGCAAATTGTTAATGAGGACCTGCCATACTCCCTGATGAAATCAGTCACACGGACACCACGCTTGTGCTTTGCTATGATTTCCTTCTTCATATATACGTACAGTAATTGTGCCTGTCTTCCTCTTGACAACACTATCTTAAGCAAGCAGCGTCATTGGCGACATCGTGGGTTACAAATTGTAGTCACGAGACCACAAAAAACAAAAAAAAGCACATATATATGCAGAGGGATGCTTGTCCTGTGCGATACAACAACAACACTGTCGTCAGAGGCATCCGAGAATTTGCGAGAACCAGCGGGAACACTAGGAAGCCCCATGTATTTTTCTCGTTAACACTTTGGCGTACCCCGCGCGCCACCCTTCAACTGTGCGATATGGGACCCAGGGTGTCACAGGAGCGCGCGTAAATTCTGAAAAGTGTATACTCTCTTCAACTTTGTCACCTTAATTCTCGTCCTACGAGATTAAATTTGTTATCATTGTGTTCGCAATAGAATTCTCTACTGCACTAAATGCATATAAACTCCAAAAGCCTCGCTAATTACCCGCAGCAAACAGAGAAAGTGCGAATGAGTTACCCAGGAGCGCGCAAACGCGATAAAATGTTTTCACTATTTTCACTCTGGTCACCTCACTTTTTGTCTAGGTCTTTCATTTTGGTCTCAATGGGTTCGCAATAGAATTCTCTAGAGGAACATTAGCATATAAAATAAAAAACCTGGTCACGTTCCAACCGCCAACGAGTTGAAGACGGGCCACGCTTTAGCCGCGAGTGAGCGCTCAGACGCCTTCCAGCTACACTCCCAATTCCCTTCCTTTAAGCCTTTCTTTCACAATTTTCTTCCTGGAAGGGCCTTGTTCATGATCACTATCCATCGTGGAGTAAGCGTAGATAGTTTCTAAAGCCGCAGTAAGAAATATAGCCACGTAAAATAGACAAAATGTTCACTCGTTTGAGATGTGAAGGGAGGCGACATTGGTCACAACAGTGGAGCGAAAACAATGGGCCGACGGTGTGTGCCAAGTCACCTGAGGGCCACGAGGCTCAACAAAGAAAATGGGAAGAAATCGGCGCACATTTTAAAACCAGTCCCAAAAAAAATCGGATAAAAACCTGATTTTTGGCGATTATTTAAAGTGGATGACGCAATGCTGCGTCATCCCCGGTATTACCGCCAGTAAACGGATGACGCAATGCTGCGTCATGCCCGGGCGAAAGTGGTAATCGAGCAAAAGCTCGCCAATCAAGACAAATTTTCTGCGAGTGGATCGCTCGTTATTTGAAATACTTGAAGATGGAGCTGCTCGTCACTCGAGGTTCCTCTGTACTTACAGAATGCTTAGGGAAAGCAGCCCTAAGTGCATGTTGCCCCAGTACACTGATGTTACCTCTGCCCACCACACCATAAAGAGCAAAAAACCTCAAAAGCACTAATTCTGCCAACAAATCGAGGGCAGAGTTGACGACTGCCCCAGAGCATATCAGCCTACGAACAAAGGTGTGAGTAGCCGGCGAGGCGTCAGTGAATGACTTTTCTTGTTTGCTTGTTTCCTTATGTGTTTGGGGGAGTTCTCTCTCTCTGTTCGGTCTTCGGGTGCAATTTCTTACCAAGTGGGATTTGTTTTGTTATGCTTACCTTTCTGGGTGCCTAACCCCGGTAAATGGCAGATATGGAATGCTCCCAAACACATGGGGGTTTCCATAGGACATTGCTCCCTGTGCCTATCTGAGGGAGTGCTCCCTGGTAGGCAGAACTCCATTGACTGATGCTCCACTAATATAGCATATATCAGTCCAATAGCTCCAGGGAGCCGGAGGGGCTCCCCACAGAAAATCACAAAAATAATGAAATTCTTCACAAAGAATTGAAGGACGGTCATCTCTAGGCAGGAGACACTGGTAAACTGGAGCGCGCCACATGCTCAGTCGACCAGTATGTGTATCAACAAAATCGAGCACCGAGGCAAACCTCGAATACCGAGTCAAATTTTTCAAAGAAATTGAGCTCGAGAATTTAAAATTTGAAAAGCAAGGTTCCACTGTATTATGAAGTTAATATTTTTGGGAGTGTGAAACAGATTAATTCAATTTACATTATTTCTTATGGGAAAATTTGTTTCGGTTTATGAACCGTCTCCACAGTCATGATCATATTTTTCTAATAACTCTACCTTATTATCCATGGTAAGGAAATTTATTTTACTCTTGTCTAATATATTCTCATATTTTTCTGCATATGTCTTAAATTTGGAAATATGTAATGATATATCACCAGAGAAGCTAGTGATAGTGAATATGTTTATAACAAGATGTTAAGACAACAGTGACCTCTTGTTACAAGCATTTTCACTAGTCTTTCTCTTGACATACCTTTATTTGCAAGTTGAAGCTATGTTGTGCAGCAATAGTAGTATTGTATGGGTACATCAGACAAGGGCAAAACATGTCATTGTGAGGGATAAAAACATATACCAGTAATAATTTTCTTCCATTTACATATAAATTAAAATCAACCTTATTAAAAAGACACGTAATATATAATTAAATTAGGCCTAATATAAACCTTCACCAAAGTACCAAACCCCCAAAACAAAACAAAATAAAGCCTATATTTTGAGATGGTCTTTTTAGGTTTTAAAATATTATACATAGTACAGTACAACACAACACTTGTTCATGTAAACACATCGAGGAGAGCAAAATACCTGTACTACAGGCCCAAAATTTACACATTTCAAGTGCATAAAGTACCTTTTTTGCTTGGCACGCCTATACTCTTTATTGCTTCTTGCCAATCAGTGAAGACTCCAAGACGGCGAGCATTGCTATCATCCTCATGGGCTTCCAAAGGATCTAGGATTCGTTTACGAGTTCGGCCACCACAAACCTCGCCTGATCTATTTCCCCCAGAAACTGGGTCCCCCATATCAATATGTATCTGGTAACTATCAGAACTCTGCAAAGAAAAAAATGAAAATGGAATTACATTAATAACTTGCCATCCAATTGTGTGAGAAATGATTTTATCAGTCACAAAACATTAATTATTAATGTATACTGTATATAGTGCTGCAGACTTGTCAACTCCAGCTTTAGGTAGGGAAGAGGCAGGGTAAGTGAAGAAGGCCTGAGCAACCATAGATAACAACATGCCATTATAAATTATTACAAAATTATTACATTACACAAGCTGGGAGATAAGAGCAGACATGTTTATTCTGAGCCCAGGTAACTATAGTACATCACCTGGAAAAGGAAACTGCTTGCCACCTGGTGATCTACACCTAATACAACAAGGCCTATTTAAAAAATACAGTACGTACATTGCATGCAAACAATGACTCAAAATAATATATATTGTAAATTACAAGAAAATTTAGAAAGTAGAAGAACCAAAATTATTGTCGAGAAATTCAATTTCAATTATATTTTTAAAACAAAGTTACAACTTTAAAATTCGTTAGGGCCACAAATTACCAGTCGATTCTCATCATTTTCACGTGTATTATTTGAAACTTTCTTCAATCTAAAAGTTGTCTACACATTTTTTCAATAAACGCAAAACTTTTGGAGTTACAAAATACTGCACTAATTGTCTATACAGTATTTAGTATGTTAATTGGAAGGGTTTATTGATTGTTTTTTACAGCAAACAATACTTGATAGAATTATACCCTGTAGACAATATGAACCTTTTATGATACTCTGATAGCATACTGAAAAGAAAAGAAATTGGGAAGTATTTGTAGTCGGTGATGTTTTTTGAAAATTTCAAAAAATATTTATTTATTTTTTTGTTACAATGTTGAACATTTAGACAAAGTTGGAGTATATAATAAGCCCAGCTGCACAATAAACCAGCGCCGCCCAATAAGAGGCGACACTAATGGGCATCAAATGCGGCATCATCCTGAAAAAGCCAAGATAGAAAGGACAAAACAACCCGATCGGTTGAACTGGAATATAGAAGACAACCTACAAAGAGAGAGAAAATGACAAAAAGAACACCGGGAAACTTCATACTGTCACCGAGACGAAGCTTGCAGGTAGGACACCATCAAAGAAGCCACCTGATCATCATACAAGTGGCGATACACCCTCGTTAAAAAGACCAGACACGAAGAGCGGAGGAGTAGACCGAACCAGTCATGTACCGAACCAGTCATGTACCGAACCAGTCATGTACCGAACCAGCCATGTACCGAACCAGCCTTGTACCGAACCAGCCTTGTACCGAACCAGTCCGATCAGCTGAAAGAGGCAGAGCCATGGAAAATGCCCCAGGTTCAGACACCAAGCAAGCAGCACCTGAAACCAAGGCTGGGCCAGCCACCAAGGGTCCACCAGGACGTCTCTCCGGCGGTAAGACTCCAAAAGAACCAGAACCAGAACCAAAAGCAAAAGTTGGACAGGGGTAGAAGTGGTACAGGTAACCCCATCTCAACCAGTCTTGCTGAAAGGCATCCTTCGCAATGGCTCTGCAGTCGGGGAAGGGCGCCACATATATGGGGAGACACCGAGACGACCACGCCGAAGCGAAGCCCGTACATCTGGCAGAGCGAACTGAAGGAGTCGGCATCAACCATCCATTCCATGGACAGGGGAATGAACCAAGACAGGCCATCCGCCAAGATGTTAAACACTCCCCGGCTATGAACCGAAGGGAGAGCAAAACCCTGAGAATCCAGCGGACGAGTCACTCTAAGCGACCAGCCCCAAAGAGAAAAAAAAAGGAACTGAAGAGAACGCCCGATGTTCAGACAATGAACCACCGGAGAGCAATCCAAATGGAGCCGGATCGTTGAACCCCGAGTGACCCGAAGCCTTCGAAACATCAAACTGCTGCGAACTCCCACACCATGCTGTGAGCCCGACGGAAGTACTGAGCCTATTGCCCCTGGCTGGTGAGCACTGGTCACAAAACCTAAACCAGGCGAGGCATCCGTGAACACAACGAGCGAGGGCTTGGGTAGGTGCCAAGGCACTGAACCCCCCAAAACCCGAAGAGGAAGCCGGCAACGCAGTAACCGAGGCAAGGTCCCCAGAGGCCTAACCCAGCGATCACAAGAGAGGCGGAAGGGACGTCCCTGAAGGAACCAGAACAGACGCCAAAGCCAGACCTGACCAAGCGGGTAAACCACCACGGCGAAGTTCAGACTCCCGCACAGCTGCTCGAGCAACCGCCGAGTAACCCAAGACCCCCCTAGAAACAGCTAAGGCGGGACCACAGCCGCAACAGCGCCACCGGAAGGAGAGATATGGAAGTGGTCTTAGAGTCACACACGAGGTCCAGCCAGGTTCAAACCTGGAACGAACCAGATGGAACATCCCCCCAGCACACCAGGAACCGTAACCCGGTGAACTGGGAAAGAGCCACCCCTCTGGCGAGCAGACAGGCTGGGATCCCACACTAACCAGCCGTCAAGGTGGGCCAACACCTGAATACCTAGCAGATGTAGATAGGCCACCAGGAACTGGGTAAGACATGTAAAACGCGAGATGCCAGAAGCCGGCCAAAGGAAAAGCAATGAAGATGAGAAGCATGCCGCCCCACCATGAAACCTAACCAGCCCCTAAACCCCAGATGAAGTGGGACATATAACACATATCCCCAAGGGCCAGAGACACCATCCAACAACCCGGCCCCAAAAGAAGCCAGATCTGAGACAGTCATCCAGAAGGAACCCAGCGGTACAGACAGGACAAAACCAGAATGAACCAAAGATCAACACAGTCCTGTTGCATGACTGAAACAAGCTGACCCGACGGAGTGAAGGGGAAGAAGCCCGCCCCGCCAGCTCCGAACCCCCAGGAGGAGGAGCCGCCCAACGCCGCCACTGGCCGAATTACACAACCCGAACTGCCCACGAATCGTGAGACCAAGCGAGGGCAAACAGAACCAGTCTACCCCACCCCCAGCGCCTTGCCAGCGGGGCGACCCGGGAAGGGACCGGCACCCCCTCCGATAAAAAGAAAAAAATAACAATAATAAAAAGAAAATACAGGAAGCTGACTTGCAAGCAGAGCGAGCACCGCACCAACAAGAGGAAGACAACTCCGGAGGAGGCACTGGCACAAAAGCTGGAGCCCTAGCACGACCACAAAAAATGTGCCAAAACCCAAGAAGTGCAGTCTGGAAGCCAGAAAAAACCCAAACCACAGAAGAGGCAAGTCCGGGGCGCACAGGGGGCACCAAGGGCATCCCGAACCTCCAACCGGGAAACCCAAGAGGAAGAAAACCGAAACCGAAGAATCTAAAGGAACCCGGAAACGAACCCAGGGAAAGCCCTAACCACCACATTTGCTGCCGGAAAACACACCACAGAAAGGAAGGGCAAAACACAAGACCCAGACAGAACCCCAGGCTAAAACAGCCAGAAAACGGACCAAAAACCGAGGGTCAAAATGCGTGGGAGCAAGCAGAGAATACAAGCATGGACACTGGGCCTAAAAACCAGGGTCCAGAACCCAAACAGACAGAAAATACAAAACCGGGCGAAAAAACCAACACCCAAATGTTCGCAAATGTCGAAAACAAAGCAGATGGGAGGAGGGACGAACCCCCCCCCCTCACCACCGCCCAGAGGCACAAGGCCCAAGCAGGGGAAAATAGCTCCATGAACCCCCCAACAGAGGCCCCAGGGCAGAGTTGCCCTTCACCCTAGAAGAAAGGCAGAGTCCAAGGAAAAGGCAACAAGATGGGGGCCTGGTGGTAAAGCCCAGAAACCTCAGCAGGAGGAGCAGGATCTAAGGCCTCCGTCCCTGCAATGAATGGGGCAGCCATCGGAGCCGCCCGAGTCTCATCCCCGATTAAACCTCGCCCCGACTTCAAAACCCACAGACGTTAGGGAGCCAGCAGCAGGTTAAAGGCATTAAATATGCCAAAGATAGAAGAAAGAGAGAGAATGACAAGAACTGGCAAAATTGACAATAAGTAATTCTTGAAACCAGTCACTTCAAGAACAAAAGGTCAGAGATTCAAGCTAATGAAACAAAGGTGACAAAAACAAATTACAGTATGCCATAACCCAATGCTTGCACCCAAAAAACAAACCTGTCATCTAAACATTTTTGTTAAAAGTCAATATCTGAAATCATTATTATTTCAACTAATGCTAAAGGAAGGGTATTGAGGCCGAGCCCCCCCTGCAGGGAGGAACTGGGCCAATCCCGACCCAGCTATGACACTCAATATAAAATAACGATTAATATGCAAAGTTTAATGAGGCTAGCCTCAAGCGTCTGGCCTCCAACCTAAAAAAAAATGACGTTCTCTCTTACACATATAGACTGTACTGTATTTTACTTTTCTGGTCATCTAATTGGCCAATAATTATTGCTTTTATTATATCTACATAGCCTCCATTGAATATTTTTAATATGTGCTAAATTACACAATACATTACAGTACTTATAAATTTACTGTACTGCAATCCACATCCACTGTGGGTGGGCACATTGATGTCAGATCTTCTTGAGGTTATCTTGAGATGATTTCGGGGCTTTGGTGTCCCCGCGGCCCGGTCCTCGACCAGGCCTCCACCCCCAGGAAGCAGCCCGTGACAGCTGACTAACACCCAGGTACCTATTTTACTGCTAGGTAACAGGGGCATAGGGTGAAAGAAACTCTGCCCATTGTTTCTCGCCGGCGCCTGGGATCGAACCCAGGACCACAGGATCACAAAGCCAGCGTGCTGTCCGCTCGGCCGACCGGCTCCCTCCTACCGGATCTCCTACAGATAAAAGAACACCTACTAAGGCATGGGCTTTGTGTCTGTTCAAGCTCTCCAAAACTTCTTTGCCATAGACCTTGTCTTAACTGATCATAATTTTCATTTAAGAAATCTGAAATTCTGACACTGTTGTCTAACAGAAAAAAAATATGTGATAGTCAACCTTAGAACTCTCTATGATCACCATTCCCTAACTCATTCACCATTCAATAGCATTTATCTCTTCTTTTGTTGGTCACCACTAAATCTAGAATTATAAATAACCAATAGATCAGCTTAAAAAATGCATAAGAACTGTATGCAATTAGTGATATTAAGTATCAATCAATCTTAGTGATATTTCAAGCAATTTTGCCAGGCACCAAGTTTTGTTTACTGTTGAAATTACAACTGCCTGGTCTAACAGGATATATATGTCACATCATACACAAGATGGCTCACCAATGCATTTTAAAACCTATCAAATCTTACCCAACCCCAACTAACCCAACCGAACCTAACATAGCCTAACCTAATGATACATAGAATAGTTTTGACAATTAGAAAACAAGCTTTGTCAAAATGCCTGGTGTGATTTAGCAGTACCCTATCCTAACCTTATCTAACCTAGCCTACTTGTGTACATAAGGTATTGCCCAAAATTAGTGATGAAAAAATAGAAGGCAATGATTTTCACATTCCAACAATTAAAACAAGTCATCAGCAATTTAGAGGATAAATGCAGGAAAGTATGTACAGGTTAGGTTGATAAAGGTCACTTTAAACAGGAGAGAATTTACAGATTTTAAAACATCACATAACCCTTCATATCCATTACATGTTTCAACATTTTGTACAGTGTGTGCATTTAAATGGGGGGTGCTGTCTAGTTATAATCAGGCACTTTCTAATTTAAAAAAATGTATATATCATTATGCTAGGTTGGGTTGCATTAGGTTTGACAGTGTTGGGTTGGGGTGTTGGTGAGATGGGCTTAGTTACATTAAGTAGGTTTCAAAATACATTTGCAAACCATCTTGGGAACAAAGTCACCTATATCCCTTTAAAATAATTATAACATAAAAAAGACCTTTAAAAGGAGAAAATATGGCTGAAATGACCAGCGTGAAAAATGATAGTTTACATAATGACAGTGTTTCAACTAGGTTATGGTAAACCTAAGTACAACTATAAACAGTACTCTACTCAAGCACTTGCACTTGTTTTTTTAGGGAAGGAGTGCAGCCGACCTACTTGTAAGCATTGTCCCACCTTGAATAACACAACTATAATGAATAACACAAATAACACAATAATGTCAGGGGTAGTTAACAAATGGAATGCATTAAGTAGTGTTGTGGTGGAGGCTGACTCCATACACAGTTTCAAATGTAGATATGATAAGAGCCCAGTAGGCTCAGGAATCTGTACACCTGTTGATTGACAGTTGAGAGGCGGGACCAAAGAGCCAGAGCTCAACCCCCGCAAACACAACTAGGTGAGTACAACTAATGTGATAGGTCCAAGATTCCTCCAAATGTGAATGTCATTAAGTTCAGTGCCAGGTTTGTAGAAGACTTTTATAGGAAGAGCGTAGGAGGGGGCTCTCATGGCGGCTATAAAGGTTGCTACCAACATTACCCAGGCAGTTGTTCATAGGACACCCACTTTGTTCTTTTTAAAACTATTAATCAAATACCTGTTTACATTAGTTCTGAGTCCATGTATAGTTGTAATCACACACTTTGGTATGTCTAGTTATATTTCTGCACATTTGTGTATATTTCAGCACACACATACATATACCATGGCACTGGCACCCTGGCAACATACACCCTGGCACTGGCACCCTGGTGATATACACCATGGCAATCTGGCACCCTGGCGACATGCACCCGGGCACTCTGACACCATGCACCCGGGCACTCTGGCACCATGGCGATATGCACCCGGGCACTCTGGCACCATGGCGACATACACTAGGACACAGTGGCACCCTGGCGACACACACCACGGCACAGTGGCGACACACACCAGGGCACAGTGGCACCCTGGCGACACACACCAGAGCACAGTGGCACCCTGGCGACACACACCAGAGCACAGTGGCACCCTGGCGACACACACCAGGGCACAGTGGCACCCTGGCGACACACACCAGGGCACAGTGGCGACACACACCAGGGCACAGTGGCACCCTGGCGACACACACCAGAGCACAGTGGCACCCTGGCGACACACACCAGGGCACAGTGGCACCCTGGCGACACACACCAGGGCACAGTGGCACCCTGGCGACACACATCAGGGCACAGTGGCACCCTGGCGACACACACCAGGGCACAGTGGCACCCTGGCGACATACACATGGCGACAATATATTCCTGACACCTCCTCCCAGTGACAGGTTAGCACACTACACTTTCACAAATCATACTTAATTTTCCTCCAATTTAAAGACCCGTGTATTCCAAAGGCCTGAAGACACAGAGAGAGCAAAGGCTCCCCGCACACACACACACACTCCATGCAATAACCACGGAGCTTTGAATACCTTTGCATGCCACAGGGCGAACTTGGACATAGTACTCCGTCACTACACGCCTCCACTACCCCCTCCACAACGACTGGCATGCACAGAAAACGTCACACAATGTTCATGGTAGCTCTCTCGGTGCCAAAACAATGCCAGTTCATGATAAAGACTCTCACCTTTGGACAAAACTTGAATTAGCACTATTGCTCAATGTAGCCACTGTATCCTCAGGAAATACACTAAAGCTATGTTCCTACAATATTTCTCACTCATCATATTCAATCATAATTCTCTGTATTTACCAGCAATAATTTCTTTAACGCATTAATTACTTACACAATGAGCAATCTATTGCAAAATTAAAATACTCTCTCCCACAAAGTTTTATGGAGAATAAGTAAGCAAGTCTTTTAAAAGAGTAACGCGTTTGGCCAAGATTTTAACGAATAACAATTATATGTTTAGCTAGACAAGCGAAACATTTCTACAATTTAAAGACATTATAAAAGAAATACAATTAAAACACATAAGTTAGCCTATATATATGATTTTTCTCTAGTGATTTAAATATATATTACCTCATTATTGAGCGAGTGAAAGCGGCGCTTCACAACAACATTCAGAGAGATTTGTGTCACCTCGTAATTACATGGTAGCCTTCTGTATAGTTTCCAAATTAAAGAGTAATTATTTTAACCAAATTATCCACTCGTTAAAATATATATATGTTATAGCCCCAGGTTAAATAAAGAATAGTATATCCCGTGTTGTAGGTCACATATAGTGTGGGGCATACCCTACCACACTGGGAATTTCCCAGCAGGAGTTGCGATACGTACAGCTTATTATACCTACATACAGGCAACTGTGTACACATGCTAGAAACGTACATAGTGTAGCCTACACACTCTCCTGATGATTGTGTACACATTCTAGAAACGTACATGGTATAGGCTACTTACTATACAAGAAATATCATACAAATTATACATAGTATAACAAAAATACTATGGTTTAATTCTCTCTTGTCAGTTGTGTACACATGATAAAAACATGTGTACATGGTGTAGCCCACACACTCTACAGGCAGCGGCGTGCACGTGTTAGAAACGTATATGGTGTAGACTACATACTTCAGGCAGCTGTGTACACACACACACATGGTAGAAACATATATACATGGTGTAGCCTACACACTCTCCAGACAGCTGTGTACACATACTAGAAACATACATGATTTAGCCTATATATACTCCACACATATGGTAGAACTACACAGATATATACATGGTCCAGGCAGCTGTGTACACGTGCAAGAAAGGCAGTGTACCACAATACCTAAAAAAACAACAAATGTCTCTGATTTCCTGTTTTCAGCCGAGGTAAAAATCCTCAGTTAAATTTAAGACATTATGAGGTTTGAATATGAAAAAAGTAAACTCTATATAAGGTAATTTTGACACATAAATTTATTCGGTAGCGCGGTTGTAAATCCTTATGATAGGCAGCGGTAGGCCTAGCCATTAATTATATACAAAATTTGGGAACAACAACCAAAATCCCCAATTAGGAGGAAGTCGATAGGCTATATAGCTTATTAGCTATTTATTTTCAACGCGGAATATATTTTAAGACGGAAATGTAACAAGCAGATATAGTCTTGGCAGGGTTTTCATTAGCACTAACCTCAACCAGGTCAGAACAAGGCTCGAAAGGCTCATTGTAATTGATCATTATGCATAATCATTCTCGCATACTTACCAGAGAATATAAAGAATAGTATATCCCGCTTTACCTCTAGCAGGAAGGTACCATTAAACCTTAGTATGAACAACTAAACTATTAATGGATAGTTTCAGTTTATTATGTGTCCCATGTTCACCCTGTACTCTTTGATAATAATAATAATAATAATAATAATAATAATAATAATAATAATAATAATAATAATAATAATAATAATAATAATAATAATAATAATAATAATAATAATAACAAATAAGGTCTACTATAGTTACCTACAGTATGGTACAATATAGTATTTGTATTATAATTATGTTAGTTTAGTTCATTTATTATGCACCCCATACCCATCTTGTGAGCGGTAGTGGAAAGGGTTACAGAGGCACATAAATGAGAGAATTGAATGTTAAATTTACTGGGGGTGATACCTAGCACATATGAGAAACTAATATATGTCAGTAAGTAAATACAGTTTAGCACATGATATACAAAACTTAATGTGATACTAATTAATGACGAAAGACATGATGGAGTATTTTACATCAGATTCTGTAGCTGTAGAGATAACCACAGTACACAGTACAAATAAACAGCCCATATCCTCCTGTTGTGGTAGTACATATAGTGACGATGAGGACCATAGTACATATACCGACCTTTACAGCAATTAGAAAGTAGAAATCGGACATATTGAATTTGGACAGACCGGAAAATATTGTACATATATGTTGCAAAGACAAACTAAACTAACTTAACCTTCCTAGGTCTAATACACGCTATCTGAGACCTAATATACTATATATATATATATATATATATATATATATATATATATATATATATATATATATATATATATATATATATATATATATACATATATATATATATATATATATATATATATATATATATATATATATATATATATATATATGTATGTGCTATACTAGGCTTAGGAATATTAAAAAAAAATTTAATCTTCATTATTTTCGGACAAAAAGTGAATAGTACAAAATTCTACAATCTAATTGCTTAATACGTCAATATTTGTAATATGGTGCGAATAGTTACAAAAAATACTATCTAAACAGGAGGATGGGTTGCAATACTGAACATTCCCATCACCAAACACAAATTATCTAATTTGGGATGAAGAAATGTGAGAATTACGCTACGTGATATTATGTATTTCTTTGTTTATTTAAATTACTTACAAGGAGAACACACAGTATTTGGGGGTTACTCGCGAGGTCATTCTACAGTTTAAGACCGCTGTATTTGCATGGAATTTCTGCTTTGATTGAACCGTACTCTTGGAATATAAAATAGATATTGGCTTCTCGTATGGTGACCGCGGGGTTCTGTTAGTCTCTGGGATCAGCGTTTGAGGTCAAGATTTGTATTGCACTTAAGAGTTTTATAAATATACCTGAGTGTGTGTAGTGATTTTATATTTAACATGTTCAAGGATTTAAATAAAGGTGCTGCGCGCTGCCTGGGGTTAGATTGTTATTGTTCTTACTGCTGATTTATATAAGTTCAGAAATTATGTGTCTCTGGTAATTTTGAGTTGCAGGTCTCCAGGTGCAGGTACCGTAAGAGAGATATGGATTGATAAGTAAATAATATAATGTATTCAAAGTAGAGCGAGGTTCATAGTACCAGATTTTAGAGCTTATGCCTGCAGTTTTAGATACTTTTTTGCTATATTTGTATATAGCAATTGAAATTCAGTGTGTTGTCAATGTGAACACAAAGGAATTTTTAACTTTTACTCTGTTCTCAATTTGGGTCTTGTTTATTCTTAGTTCAATCTGAATGGCGGACAAATCAACCAACTGGTTGATCCAAATAGCATATAATACGTTTTCCCATGTTAAGTGTGAGTTCGTTGGTAGTCAGTCACATGTGGACTCTTTTGAGTTCAGTATTCACTCTGTCGGTTTCAATAAGTGGGTTATCATTTTAGAAAGTGAAAGTTGTATCAGCAAATGGTATTGGCTTTAGGTATTGTGGGGCATTTGGTAGGTCATTTGTGTATATTTGTTCATTCTGTGTGTTGTGCTTTATCTATTATGAACCCCATGTTCACCTTGTGGGTTGTGGAGTGTCTTTTACATACCCATGTTCACCCTGTGGGTTGTGGTGTGCCTATTACGTACCCATGTTCACCCTGTGGGTTGTGGAGTGTCTATTACGTACCCATGTTCACCCTGTGGGTTGTGGAGTGTCTTTTACATACCCATGTTCACCCTGTGGGTTGTGGTGTGCCTATTACGTACCCATGTTCACCCTGTGGGTTGTGGTGTGCCTATTACGTACCCATGTTCACCCTGTGGGTTGTGGAGTGTCTATTACATACCCATGTTCACCCTGTGGGTTGTGGTGTGCCTATTACGTACCCATGTTCACCCTGTGGGTTGTGGTGTGCCTATTACGTACCCATGTTCACCCTGTGGGTTGTGGAGTGTCTTTTACATACCCATGTTCACCCTGGGGGTTGTGGTGTGCCTATTACGTACCCATGTTCACCCTGTGGGTTGTGGTGTGCCTATTACGTACCCATGTTCACCCTGTGGGTTGTGGTGTGCCTATTACGTACCCATGTTCACCCTGTGGGTTGTGGTGTGCCTATTACGTACCCATGTTCACCCTGTGGGTTGTGGTGTGCCTATTACGTACCCATGTTCACCCTGTGGGTTGTGGTGTGCCTATTACGTACCCATGTTCACCCTGTGGGTTGTGGAGTGTCTTTTACATACCCACGTTCACCCTGTGGGTTGTGGTGTGCCTATTACGTACCCATGTTCACCCTGTGGGTTATGGAGTGTCTATTACGTACCCATGTTCATCCTGTGGGTTGTGGAGTGCCTATTACGTACCCATGTTCACCCTGTGGGTTGTGGAGTGTCTATTACGTACCCATGTTCACCCTGTGGGTTGTGGTGTGCCTATTACGTACCCATGTTCACCCTGTGGGTTATGGAGTGTCTATTACGTACCCATGTTCACCCTGTGGGTTGTGGAGTGTCTATTACGTACCCATGTTCACCCTGTGGGTTGTGGAGTGCCTATTACGTACCCATGTTCACCCTGTGGGTTGTGGAGTGTCTATTACGTACCCATGTTCACCCTGTGGGTTGTGGAGTGTCTATTACGTACCCATGTTCACCCTGTGGGTTGTGGTGTGTTTACAACTACAGAAGATTACATACGGCTAAATTAGATACAATTCAGTTCACTAGACATCAGAGAAAACTATGTATGGAATGCAACCTATAACATTCCCAGACAGTATATTCACTATATTAATACCCCCAGGGTATCTTACAGGTGGTTGATGGTAAACAAAACATACACAACGGGAATCTTACAGGTAAACAAAACATACACAACGGGAATCTTACAGGTAAACAAAACATACACAACGGGAATCTTACAGGTAAACAGCACATACACAACGGGTATTTTGGAAAAATCTTCCCAAGACATCAATGCCAACTGCAGCAGCAGTAGTGAGAGTCTTAAGTCTGCATGTTAACACTCCTTATCTACCGAGGCGATGGACCACAGGAGAAGGACGGTACAACTGGATATACTATTAACAACATAACATAAAGATCCACTACGAGGGCATGACTGGGGTCTCTTGTACGGGCGCTGGAGGTACAAGTCTTACAAGTACTACAGAATGGAATAAATATGGTAGCACTATCATTATGGCAGCCCGTTCTCCAAAAATGGGGTGGTAAATGTAAAAAGACAAATAAATGCAATTATGTACTATTCATAGCAGTTAGGAATTCTACTTATTTTCACTTAGTATTAAATCGTACTGTCAAATATATTGTGAATATTTGAGTTTACCTGAAAAACTGAATAGAAAACCACAACCTCACCTAACAGTCTTAGTTTTTGAAGATAATAATTTTATTGCTTCTTAATTACAATTAGTACTTAACCTATAGCTATATTTATATTACAGTTTTATAAAACTAGTAAAACAAAACTAAAATATATCAATAAATTGTAAAGTAACTCAGGATATTTTAAAATTTTGTAAAAAATCTATATTGTTTAATAAACCTGAAAACGAAATTCTTGATATTTAAAACTTCAGCATTGCAAATTGAAATTGAAAGCCTCCTCCTAAAATTCTGAGTGTCTTAACAGAAAACGTAGAGAATTAAATCGGGGGAAGGAGTTGGATAAATGTAACACCCCCATAGGTGCAATTATGCACTGTTTATGACAGTAAGAAAGTGTACTTATTACACTTAGTATTAAATCGTACTGTCAATTCGGAGGATGGGTTGCAGCATGGCCAGTAACACCACAACTTGGTCCCGCCTCTCAACCGTCAATCAAATGATGTACAGATTCCTGAGCCTACTGGGCTCTATCGTATCTACAGGAGTGTGTGTGTGTATTCACCTAGTTGTGCTGGCGGGGGTTGAGCTCTGCTCTTTCGGCCCGCCTCTCAACTGTTTCTACTACTATTTTTTTCCCCCAACACCACACACACACATACCAGGAAGCAGCCCGTGACAGCTGACTAACTCCCAGGTACCTATTTACTGCTAGATAACAGGGGCATAGGGAGAAAGAAACTCTGCCCATCGTTTCTCGCCGGCGCCCGGGATCGAACCCGGGACCACAGGATCACGTGACCAGCGTGTTGTCCGCTCAGCCGCCGGCTCCCTGTGTGTGTGTGTGTGAGAGAGAGAGTAGCCACCACCCTGTCGCTGACCCTTGGACGATATAAGGTAACTAAGACAGATATTTGAGGTTGTTCTCTTGGTCAGCACTTGCTGCTGGCCACCAACAACCATTACGAGGCGAGGATATATATGAAGAAGAAGCTGAGCTACTGGGATACACATCAACAGGAAGTTGGGACAGCCAGACTTCCTGGGCGACCTCAGTGAAGTCCCAGGTTGAATAGCTTTTGTCCTGTCATAGCCTAGTGGGCTACGGCGCGCATCTAATATTCACCAGAAAGCTGCTTCAAATCCCCGCGCGGCTTCAACTGATCTTCTATTGTGATATTGCTACTGCTAATACATGTTATAATGCTACTACTAAATGATCTATTGCTACTACTAAATGATCTATTGCTACTACAATGACTTGTTTAATTGCCACTACTAAATGTTCTATTGGTACTGCAAGTATATCATCTATTGATGTATTAAAGTGTTAAATATATCAATACAAAATAAAACACGAAACAATGGACAAAAATGGTATACGTTTTGATTTTGAAAAGACCTGGGTAAATACTGGTTTGGAAATTGGGTTGTTAATTTATGGAACAAATTACCAAATAACACAACAGACGTGAGATTGCTGGATTGTTTCAAGCGTAGGTTAGACATATATATACGAGTTTGGGTGTATGTAAGTCGCAGATGTCTCCTATAGACCAATAGGCTACATACAGTTTCCCTTATGCTATTTTTTTGTAATATATCTTATATTCATATATTATATCTTGTATTGGTATTATTAATACATGTTGTGTTGGTACTAGTAATAGAAGGAGTGGAAGGAGGACTAGTGGAGGTGTAGCTCCTGTTGTCTGCTGGTTATGTTCACAGCTGTTGAATAATGCAGCAGTCTCTAACTGTCAATACCACTCATACATTTATTGCCTCCACCACTGCTTCTACCTCCTGTACTGCCTCCATTACTGCTTCTACCTCCTGTACTGCCTCCATTACTGCTTCTACCTCCTGTACTGCCTCCATTACTGCTTCTACCTCCTGTACTGCCTCCATTACTGCTTCTACCTCCTGTACTGCCTCCACCACTGCTTCTACCTCCTGTACTGCCTCCACCAGTGCTTCTACCTCCTGTACTGCCTCCACCACTGCTTCTACCTCCTGTACTGCCTCCACCACTGCTTCTACCTCCTGTACTGCCTCCACCACTGCTTCTACCTCCTGTACTGCCTCCACCACTGCTTCTACCTCCTGTACTGCCTCCACCACTGCTTCTACCTCCTGTACTGCCTCCACCACTGCTTCTACCTCCTGTACTGCCTCCACCACTGCTTCTACCTCCTGTACTGCCTCCACCACTGCTTCTACCTCCTGTACTGCCTCCACCACTGCTTCTACCTCCTGTACTGCCTCCACCACTGCTTCTACCTCCTGTACTGCCTCCACTACTGCTTCTACCTCCTGTACTGCCTCCACCACTGCTTCTACCTTCGGAATGATGATGGACAGAGTTGATGGGGGTCCAGCTGGTGCTCCGCTTGACATCCCAGAAGACACATTTAGGAAGCTACTGGAAGCATGTATCAAAGAGGAACCCGTCCTGAGCCCTGATGGGTGCATAAGCCAGTAGACGGCGTTGCTATGGAGTCCCTCCTTGGTGCCCTGTTTGCTAGTTTTGACATGGGAACCGTCGAACAGAAAGTCCTTGTTGACACAGGCCTCAAGCCGAGTGTATACTGTGGTTGTCACGGGCTCACCATAGCCCGTGCTACTTGGAACTTTTTGTTCCAGGTAGCGAATCTTAAACAACAATGTAGAGATATTCCTGCAGGTACCTGATCCTGAAGTACCTGATAGTTCAAGTACTAATTCAGATCCTGGACCTGATAATTCGTTGGGGCATCTGTACCCCAACGAATTCAATATATAGGCAAGACAACAACATTCCTTACACGACGCCTAACAATGCACAAGAAGCAAGGACCTATAAAAGAACACATAATCTATATACATCACCAGAGTTATACACACAAACAACACCATAAATATTCGACTGATATAGCAACAACAGGAGACGGGACATGGACGAGGAGCATGCACATAAAGGTGAAAAATTAACTCTCCAATGTTCATTTTTACAATTTTATTTGTCCTGACGCTATGAGTCGTACTTCGTCAACTCTTGTTAACAAACCATAAAGTCAACCCAGCCAGGCATCAATGCCCAACCACCACCACATTACACTCTGCCAACTTCCGGAACAGGACGATACAGTGGATACAGTAAGTATCCACTGTATCTTCTGTATTATACACAAGATACAATGGACCTGTAAGTGAGGTACTCTTCATCTCATCACCTTCATTTGGGTTACTTAATCTTTATCAATCAATCAATACTAAATCATTTCAGCTCTACCTTTGACAATGCTAACAAGAGTTGACGAAATACAACTCATAGCGTCAGAACAAATAAAATTGTAAAAATGAACTTTGGAGAGTTCATTTTTCAACTTCCTTCTTGTAACGGGGGGGTGGGGGAAATAGCTCTATCTTGTCCATTATTCCACCCCCCAGTTAACTAACGAGGCCGGGGGAAACAGCTCTCTCTAGTCCGTTATCCCGTCCCCAGTTAGCTAACTATTCCAGAGCACTCCCAGAGTTCCTAAGGCAACCTCTCTCGTTCAACACCTTGTAACCTAGGTATTTGACTACCTAGGTGCTAAGACTACAAGGCGCCGAGACTTGATCAGTTACCCGAAACTCTAGAGAGAACTCTAGAATACAGAATCATTGCCACAAAACGTATAAGAGAAAGCGAAAGGAAAGAAATGAATAGTGAAGTAATTAGTGAGGGTTTGGGGTGAGAGGGAGAGAGGTGGGAGGGGCGAGGATGGTCATTAGTTGAAAGTGAGAGTTTAGAGAGGGGTGGAGGGAGAGGAGTAGATAGGTAGAAGGAGAAGAGTAGATAGTAGGAGTAGAAGAGTAGATAGTAGAAGACGAAATGCTGCCACCATCCATTCATGATCATTACATACAAGACAAGGAATGGAACTTGCCTGTATCACAAAATTCTCAAAGGATGTTATCATGAGTTCATTATTAGTATGTTCCCTCTGTACCATGTATCAACTCCAAACATGTACTCATTAATATCTTGAATCTAGTAACCACCGAGGCTTTCTCACCTCAACTCAACTCTCTAGGGAACACAGTGAAAGACCATTTAAATAATAAATTCAACAATTATATTTTTCATGATAAGTATCATAACTTAAGCAATCCAATTAGAGCGGCGCAGTAGAGGCCTGTGGCGGCGCAGCTGAGGCCTGTGGCGGCGCAGCATGGGCCTGTGGCGGCGCAGCAGAGGCCTGTGGGGGCGCAGCAGAGGCCTGTGGCGGCGCAGCAGAGGCCTGTGGCGGCGCAGCAGAGGCCTGTGGCGGCGCAGCAGAGGCCTGTGGCGGCGCAGCAGAGGCCTGTGGCGGCGCAGCAGAGGCCTGTGGCGGCGCAGCAGAGGCCTGTGGCGGCGCAGTAGAGGCCTGTGGCGGCGCAGCAGAGGCCTGTGGGGGCGCAGCAGAGGCCTGTGGCGGCGCAGCAGAGGCCTGTGGCGGCGCAGCAGAGGCCTGTGGCGGCGCAGTAGAGGCCTGTGGCGGCGCAGCAGAGGCCTGTGGCGGCGCAGCAGAGGCCTGTGGCGGCGCAGCAGAGGCCTGTGGCGGCGCAGTAGAGGCCTGTGGCGGCGCAGCAGAGGCCTGTGGCGGCGCAGCAGAGGCCTGTGGGGGCGCAGCAGAGGCCTGTGGTGGCGCAGTAGAGGCCTGTGGCGGCGCAGCAGAGGCCTGTGGCGGCGCAGCAGAGGCCTATGGGGGCGCAGCAGAGGCCTGTGGCGGCTCAGTAGAGGCCTGTGGCGGCGCAGCAGAGGCCTGTGGGGGCGCAGCAGAGGCCTGTGGCGGCGCAGCAAAGGCCTATGGCGGCGCAGTAGAGGCCTGTGGCGGCGCAGCAGAGGCCTGTGGCGGCGCAGCAGAGGCCTGTGGCGGCGCAGTAGAGGCCTGTGGCGGCGCAGCAAAGGCCTATGGCGGCGCAGTAGAGGCCTGTGGCGGCGCAGCAGAGGCCTGTGGCGGCGCAGCAAAGGCCTATGGCGGCGCAGTAGAGGCCTGTGGCGGCGCAGCAGAGGCCTGTGGCGGCGCAGCAGAGGCCTGTGGCGGCGCAGCAGAGGCCTGTGGCGGCGCAGCAGAGGCCTGTGGGGGCGCAGCAGAGACCTGTGGCGGCGCAGCAGAGACCTGTGGGGGCGCAGCAGAGACCTGTGGCGGCACAGCAGAGGGCTGTGGGGGCGCAGCAGAGGCCTGTGGCGGCACAGCAGAGGGCTGTGGGGGCGCAGCAGAGGGCTATGGGGAGCATCGGTCTCAACATTCCGGCGTGCAGAGAGTGGCTGGTAGACGTTATAAGGGACAAGTGTAACTGAGATGGAAGTGTTGTAGTACCTGATGACCGTCCTCTCATAGCCGGCTCCGGTTAACCCCCGACCTCTTCTCGCTAGTAACAGCTGGCAATCCGTGTCCTGGACCACCATGATCATACCTCAAGGTTGTGACAACAACCAGCGCCTGTTGGCCACGCCAGGCTTCAGGTGGTCAGTGTAAACACCCAATTAGACTGTAGGAGTAAATAGGCCGTGCAGACATAATACACAAAGCGGCAGTCAGCCAGCATTAACAAAACAGTATAGGACCAGTACACACTGCCTTTACTGCACTGAATTTGTCACATACGGCCGTTATTTTGAAAATGGGTACGGCCAGTAGGCCTATAACCTATTACCATTACACAACAATACACAATAGTATAAATTTTTTACTAACCGCATTTATTAAAAGTACATGTCCAGAATGCATCAGGCTCATTTTAGCGTATGTAGTTCAGTTGTGGTCTCCGTGGAATGGACATAAATTCACTTACACGCCTACAAACAAGGATGCCATAATCCCAGGAATTAGAAACCTTCCTGATGAAGAGCGGTTAAAAGAACATTCCCAAGAAAGAGTAAGAGTAAGGGGATGATTCAATGATTGAGGTGTATAAATAGTTGAATGTTTATAATAAAGAGATTTAAGTAAGATTGAAATATATTATCACAAAATAGAACTTGAAATAATTACTATAAATAGGAAAGTTTACATTCAAGAAAGACCTGATTTGGAAACACGGTTGTGGGTTTATGGAACAGATTACCGGGAAGACAATAGATGTGGGGTAATCCAATTGTTTCAGGCATCGGTTAGAATAAATTAATCAACCTGTCTTCAGGGAGGAGGTTCCCTGGAGGAAATCACTTCAAAACTGTAATTAGTGCTATTATCTACTCCTTATCCATGGTTAGGTTAGATTCATTACGTTTGGTTATGTTAATACAATGTCTTAAACATGTAAAACATAAGATTCAAAAACTATTTGAGTATTACCTAGAATTTTGCTTAAAGCAAACCAAATTTTACAGACTGTTTCAAAGAATACGAGTTAACCATAAGCTTTTTATATTTTAAACCCAACGATTTATAATACAATAGAGTTATAACTGAATAATCCGTTAAAGACAAAGCTTCACTTGCCAGTTTACCTTTTAGACTATTATTGGAACCGTAATATGCTTTCAGAATACCACAAATATCTAGATAACTATCCAGTTGGTGTGAGAATGGGCTTGGTGTCTCATGGTAATGATTTTACCTTAAGTATGTGCTCAATTAAATATATAGAATTAATATATGAGTTTGGGTGGATATAAATAGAAGCTGCTTTGTAGGTGGATAACCATCTAGGGTGTAGATACCCACGTTTGTCCTCTGAAATATGCTGTACTATAATTTCGTGTGAACAAAACAAGATTTAAATATCCAGTTATTTTAGTATATCCGCTTGGTTAATATATAAGGGCCGGGTTCGATCCCCGGAGGAGGCGGAAACAAATGGGCAGAGTTTCTTCCACCGTGATGCACTTGTTCACCTAGCAGGAAATAATTAGACAGGGAATTAGACAGCTGTTACGGGCTGCTTCCTGGGGATGTGTGTGTGTGTGTGCGTGTGTGTGTTTACTAGTTGTGTTTTTACGGGGGTTGAGCTTTGCTCTTTCGGCCCGCCTTTACTAACTAACTGTTTACTAACTACTTTTTTTTTTCCACACCACACACACACACCCCAGGAAGCAGCCCGTGACAGCTGACTAACTCCCAGGTACCTATTTACTGCTAGGTAACAGGGGCATTCAGGGTGAAAGAAACTTTGCCCATTTGTTTCTGCCTCGTGCGGGAATCGAACCCGCGCCACAGAATTACGAATTCTGCGCGCTATCCACCAGGCTACGAGGCCCCTGTCCCAGGCTACGAGTCCCCTGTCCCAGGCTACGAGGCCCCTGTGTGTGTGTGTGTGTGTGTGTATGAAAATTAAGGACCTGCCCGAAACGCTATGCGTCCTAGTGACTGTACAAGAATATAATATGTATATATATATATGTGTATGTATGTGTGTGTGTTTTGTTAAATATAACTGAAAAGGTAAGATTAATAGTTCTAACACGAATTTTTTCAACATTTCTTATGTTCTTCTTCACTGTCGGTGGTAATGTAAATATCAATTCTCCAAAATTAATTTTTATTTATGGTCTGACGCCTAAACGCGTTTCGTAATGGCTTATTACATTTTCAAAGACTTAATTTACACACAAATTCATCGTACTTATACTCTATTGGGTGAGGTGATATGATACAAAAGTTTTGGGTGAGGTGAACAAACTTGTGACAAACACAAGACAGAACACGAAACAATGGGTATAACTTGGATATGAGAACATAAGAATGCAAGTAACTGCAGAAGGCCTATTGGCCCATACTTCCTCTTGCTGCTTCCATATTGGTTCGGAGTCTTGAAGTGGGTAGAATATAGCTGTGCATTCATTAATTGGCTGTTGATTGCTGGTGTTAACTTTTTGATGTGTAGTGCCTCGCTGATGTCGAGCCGCCTGCTATCGCTGTACATATCGATGATTTCTGTGTTGTTTGTTAAGATTTCTCTGGTGATGGTCTGGTTGACCAGATCAACCGAACCAGAACATATATATATATATATATATATATATATATATATATATATATATATATATATATATATATATATATATATATACATATATATATATATATATATATATATATATATATATATATATATATATATATATATATATATATATGTTTTCGTTACATTTAGATACAGACACATAAACTTAAAAATAACATTTATACATGCAAGTGGCTGTCATCAAACACTAACATTAACATCAATAACATTAGCATTTCCCACTGCACCAGCCTGCCTGCCACCCCCCCACACAGGTGTAGAACAGGTGTGGCGACGCAGGCACGTGTACACCTGCACACTCCCCCGCCTCCACCTGTGTCAACCACACACACCTCTCCCCCCCCCCCACCCCCACCCCCCTCGAGGCCAGTCAATTAATTTAACCCAAATGTTTCTCTGTGTGTTTTAATGCACTTCAGACATGACATGTTTCAATGTAACGTTTTGGTATGTGAGTTCTGCAACGCTAGAGAAGTAGTGTGTGTTGTACTATACAAGTCTGAGGGGCCAGATTCACGAAGCACTTACGCAAGCACTTACGAACTTGTACATCTTTTCTCAATCTTTGGCGGCTTTGTTTACAGTTATTAAGCAGTTAATGAGCTCCGAAGCACCAGGAGGCTGTTTATAACAATAACAACAGTTGATTGAGAAGTTTTCGTGCTTTTAAACTGCTTAATAAATGTAACCAAAGCCGTCAAAGATTGAGGAAAGATGTATAGGTTCGTAAGTACTTGCGTAACTGCTTCCTGAATCTGGGCTCTGAATAGCAACTAAGCATTTCGACCAAGCTTGCTGGATCAGTCGACAAGGCTTATTTATGATGAAATTGAATCCAATATTCCGACAAAGGCTACGAAGACTAGCTACTTATTGTCTCAGTATCACTGGTACAAAGGACAGTACTCACTAAGGTGTACATCACAGCAGTTGACATGTGTAGGGGAGGTGCCTCTGACTCAGCATGGGCGGACCATCACCCCCTACATCCCCGCAATATATGGCTGCTTGCAAGAACAAGATTGAGGTCCGTTGGGCTTCCCAGACTTTCATCCCGCGATAGGTTAAAACAGCTTGTGATCCGGGGCCCAGTAAACAAAGGAAAGTTGATATATTAAGTGGATTCTTTGAGGATTAATCCAAGAACGCAAGATGGAAGTGACAAGATATTTTAGATATTTTAGATTTAGCTACTCAGAACGAAATGTCCTTGTAGCCCAGGTTATAGATGTTCTAGGTGAGAGAACCCTCCACCTAGGAAAGGTCAGGGGCAGGTGTAACAGACGTTGGCCTTTACAAGCTGAGTCAGCTGCCTTGAAAGGTCAGTGGCAGAACACTATTGGTAGACGTGTACCCCAAGTTGAATAAGGTCATCCCCGGGGGTCGAGGGGACGCTGAGAGTACCTATGGATACTCTCATAGATGTGTGTACTCACCTATTTGTGTCTGTAGGAGCTGACACAAATTGACTCTTGGATCCCGCCTTTCCAGCCATCGTCATTGTTTACAGCAATGACTCCTGTTCCATTTCCTGTGTGTGTGTGTGTGTGTGTGTGTGTGTGTGTGTGTGTGTGTGTGTGTGTGTGTGTGTGTGTGTGTGTGTGTGTGTGTGTGTGTGTGTGTGTGTGTGTGTGTGTGTGTGTGTGTGTGTGTGTGTGTACTCACCTAATTGTACTTGCGGGGGTTGAGCTCTGGCTCTTTGGTCCCGCCTCTCAACTGTCAATCAACTGGTGTACAGGTTCCTGAGCCTATTGGGCTCTATCATATCCACACTTGAAACTGTGTATGGAGTCAGCCTCCACCACATCACTTTCTAATGCATTCCATTTGTCAACCACTCTGACACTAAAAAAGTTCTTTCTAATATCTCTGTGGCTCATTTGGGCGCTCAGTTTCGACCTGTGTCCCCTAGTGCGTGTGCCCCTTGTGTTAAATAGCCTGTCTTTATCTACCCTATCAATTCCTTGAGAATCTTGAATGTGGTGATCATGGTTCCCCCTAACTCTTCTGTCTTCCAACGAAGTGAGGTTTAATTCCCATAGTCTCTCCTCGTAGCTCATACCTCTCAGCTCGGGTACTAGTCTGGTGGCAAACCTTTGAACCTTTTCCAGTTTTGTCTTATCCTTGACTAGATATGGACTCCATGCTGGGGCTGCATACTCCAGGATTGGTCTGACATATGTGGTATACAAAGTTTTGAATGATTCCTTACACAAGTTTCTGAATGCCGTTCTTATGTTGGCCAGCCTGGCATATGCCGCTGATGTTATCCTCTTGATATGGGCTGCAGGGGACAGGTCTGGCGTGATGTCAACCCCCAAGTCTTT